TGCTGCTGGTGGTGTGGTGGTGGTGGTGGTGGCCTCGTGGCACTGAACCGGTGCACCGAGAACGACTCGTGCTCCGACGCGCAGTCGTCGGCCTGGTAAGCGACCTTGAGGTGGTGCGGCGAGTACGACCGCGGATAGAAGGCCGCGTGCGACAGCAGCTTGGCCTCGTCGGAGTGCCGCTCGGCCAGCCGGAGCGCCACGGCCTGGGACTGGTAGTCGTCCGCCAGGTGCTGATCGCGCGCCTTGGCCCGCCACCGATGGAGAAAGCTGGCGTTGCGAGGCGCCACCACCACGCCCACGCCGGCCAGCTTGCGGTCGAGGCCGTCGCGGGCGAGCGTGACCGCTTGGCGAGCGCGCAAGGGCGCAAACGAGCGCACGACGAGCGCGTCGGTGTCGAGCAAGATGCCGCCCTCGTCGATGAGCACCCCGAGCCGCACGTCGTCCTCCCTCTGTTCCCCGCTGGTGGCGGTGGTGGAGTCCGCGATAAGGTGTAGCGAGGAGATGAGCGGCAGCGTGCACTCGTCCCACCAGGGACCCTCCGGCAGCGAACCGCCACCACCACCAGCGCCACCAAGGCTGTGGTACCATCGGATGTGGTCGGGCTCGGTGTTGATGGCGGCGCTGAGCACAGAGATGTAGCTCCACACGTCGAGCCGCCGCCGCCGGGCAGAGGTGGTGTCGCGGCGAGGCGGAAAGAAGTGGACCACGTTGGGCACGCGCGGCACGCTGTCCTCCTGCACCATGCGGCCCGACACGGCCGTGGGTGCGGCCGGCTCGTCCGAGAGCACCCGCGCTGTTGGGTTGGAGGAGAGCACGCAGGTGCGGTTGGTCGTGTGCGGGTACCACAGCCATGCCTGGCACCGCGGGAAGTCAGTAGAGCACTTGGCGCAGCACTCGGCCGAGCTGTTGACCATGACCTCCCGGAGCACGACGAACTCTTCCGGGTACGCCCACGGGGCCTCCACCTCCGCGCTGTCGGGGCCGACGACGCAGCGTAGATCGTTTCCCAGTTCTCCGCCGACGTGGTAGCCGCGCGCCAGGTCGAAGTTGGCCAGGTCGAGGCCGTTGTCGTTAGCCCAAATCGACGGTGTGACGAGCCACGTATGGCCCAGGCCCGAGCCCGAGTAGGGGTTGGTCACGGCCACGGGCGGCCACATGAGCACGGTCTGGTTGGGCCACTTGACCACGCCATCGGCAAAGCCCTGCTGGTCCATGGCCTTCTGCGAGATGATCATCTTCTCGGTCATGAGGGCGGCCGCCTCGCGGTGCAGCGCCACGGCCCAGGTGGTGGCGATTGAGGCCGGGCGGGCCAGCCCCGCGTCGATGAAGTGGTCCAGGGCCTGCGCGTCCTTGTAGTAGGTGGCTTCGAAGACTAGCGCGCCGAGCCACAGCATGCGCCAGTCGCTCGGCATGCGACGCATGCGCGCATCGAAGGCGCGCGGGAAGTCGGCGCAGAAGGTGACGTCGTCTTCGAGAATGAGCACCCGCTCGAGGCCCGCCGACCGGGTCACGTAGTCCATGAGGCCCAGGTGCGTGAGGTAGAGACCGAGCACGCCAGGGTGCTGGTCCACCGGGTCCTTCATGATGACCTTGGCCAGGTGAGCCGAGCCGGCCATGAGCCGGGCGTCGACGGCGTGGACCAGCGTGTAGGGCACCCCGAGCTCCCGCAGCTGGCGGCGAGCGCGGGCCAGCCGGTCGGTGGCGCGCGGCAGGGAGATCAGGAGAATCTCGTCGAACACGTCTTCCAGGCGGCACAGGCGGCCGGTGGCCTCGGGTGGGCAGCCCGGAGCTCGACTGACGTTGGAGGCAGCGCGCAGGTCTTCGACCTTGATGAAGGGGGGCTCGCCTTCGCTGTGTGGTGGTGGCTTCGCTTCGTCGGCCACGGCAGGTAGGCACGGCGGGGGCGGGGGGTATGAAGGTTCTGCCGCATACTCTGGCAGCGCCAACACCAGCCTGGTCAGGAGAGCCCACGGGACCAACGAGGAGTTAAGGAATACAATGAGCCATGCTGCAAGCAGGGTGGGTCCCAAGAGGACCATCACCCTCATGACCCCTGCAGCTGTCCTGAAGTTCTCTCTTGCTCGACTTCTTCCTGTTTCAAAGTGAACCTTGTATAGTTTGTAATCTACTATTCTGCTTCACTTCGTTTTGGTAAAGCCGCAAAAAGAAGAAGCTTGAAGACACAAAAGGAAATTTGGCTTCATGACCTCATTTCTATTGCTGGTGGACAAGCGGGCGCCTCGCCACGGGCCTCGAGCCGCCGCACCTCCCTCTCTGCCATCGCACACAGCCGCCCGCCGGCCAGCGCCTTGCGCACGATGGCCCGCGCCACCCGATGCAGACTTCCCTTGCCCAGCCACACCCGTTCCAGCTCGCCCGCAGCGCTCTCTTTTCCTCCTCCTGTTGCTGGTGCTGGTGGTGCTGATGATGATGCCCACGCGGCGCTGCTGTGGCGGTGCACCGAGAACGATTCGTGCTCCGACGCGCAGTCGTCGGCCTGGTAAGCGACCTTGAGGTGGTGCGGCGAGGACGACCGCGGATAGAAGGCCGCGTGCGACAGCAGTTGGGCCTCGTCGGCGTGCTGCTCTGCCAGCTGGAGCGCCACGGCGCCCGCGCGGTAGTCCTGCTCCGCGCTCTGATCGCGCACCTTGGCCAGCCACCGATGGAGAAAGCTGCCATTGCGAGGCGCCACAACCACGCCCACGCCGGCCAGCTTGCGGTCGAGGCCGTCGCGGGCGAGCGTGACCGCTTGGCGAGCTCGCAAGGGAGCAAACGAGCGCACGACGAGCGCGTCGGTGTCGAGCAAGATGCCGCCCTCGTCGATGAGCACCCCGAGCCGCATCTCTTCCTCCCTGTCCGCAGCGTTGAGGTTCGTCTTGGCCGAAGGCACCTGGTGGAGCGAGGAGATGAGCGGCAGCGCGCACTCGTCCCACCAGGGACCCTCCGGCTTCGATCCACTACCACCGATCGACCGGTGGTGCCATCGGATGTGGTCGGGCTCGGTGTTGATGGCGGCGCTGAGCACGGAGAGGTAGCTCCACACGTCCAGCCTTGGGGTGGTGGTGGCGTCGTGGAGTGGCGGAAAGAAGTGGACCACGTTGGGCACGAGCGGCACGCTGTCCTCCTGCACCATGCGGCCCGACACGGCCCGCTTGGCCGATGGCACCCGCGCCGCTTCGGCGCCGGAGTCCAGCACGCACCTGTGGGTGTGGGTGTACCAGCGCCAGGCGCGGCACCACGGGAAGTCGCGCGAGCACTTGGCGCAGCACTCAGCCGAGCTGTTGACCACCTCCGCCTGGCCCACAAAGAAGCCCTTTGGGTTCTCGGCCTCCGTGGCCACCTCGTCGTCGTCGTCGTCGTCGGAGTTGTCCTCATCGCTGATAGCAGTGGGGCCATCGGCGACCACGACGCAGCGCAGGTCGGAGCCCAGCTCGCCACCGACGTGGTAGCCGCGCGCCAGGTCGAAATTGGACAGGTCGAGGCCGTTGTCGTGCGCCCACACAGCCGGCGGCGGCCACCAGCCATGGCCGATCGTCGAACCGGAGTAGGGGTCTGTCATGGCAACGGGCGGCCACACAATGAAGGTCTGGTTGGGCCACAGGTGCAGGGCCTCGTTGTAGGGATGCTCGTCGATGGCCTCGCGCGAGGCCAGCATCTTCTCAGCCACGAAGGCCGCCGCCTCGCGGTGCAGGCCCAGCGCAAAGCTAGTCATCACATGGGTCGGGCGGGCGAAGCCGACATCGACAAAGTGGTCCAGCGCCTCGGGATTCTGGTAGGTGGGCGTAAAGACCAGCGCGCCGAGCCACAGCATGCGCCAGTCGCTCGGCATGCGACGCATGCGCGCATCGAAGGCGCGCGGGAAGTCGGCGCAGAAGGTGACGTCGTCTTCGAGAATGAGCACCCGCTCGAGGCCCGCCGACCGGGTCACGTAGTCCAGGAGGCCCAGGTGCGTGAGGTAGAGACCGAGCACGCCCGGGTGCTGGTCCACCGGGTTGACCAGTACGTTCTTGGCCAGCTCGGCCGAGCTGGCCATGAGCCGGCCGTCGACGGCGTGGACGAGCGTGTAGGGCACGCCCAGAGCGCGCAGCTGGGCGCGGACGCGGGCCAGCCGGTCGGTGGCGCGCGGCAGGGAGATGACGAAGATCTCGTCGAACACGTCTTCCAGGCGGCACAGGCGGCCCGCGGCCACGGGAGGACACCCCGTCGCAGGTCGTCGTTGGGGGCTGTAGTGGGTGGTGCCATCAAGCAGCTCGTCGACTTTGACGAAGGGCGGGTCATGGTATTCCTCTTGTGTGCAGCGGGTGGCGCCGGCGGGGGCTTCGCTCACGACTGGAGCGGAGGAGGCGCAGGCGTCCGAGAGAAGGGTCGGGCGGCGGTAGAGCTGCCCGGCCAACCAGCCGACAGGCCCGAACAACTCAAGTAGTGGGACGACCAAGGCGACCGCCAGAAGCGCCAGCACAACGAACTTGAGATACCGCCCCACCAACAACATCACACCAGTAACAACCCCAGGTCAGATCAGGTATTTTCTCTGTTTTTTCTTTTTGAGTCTTATGATTTTTCTCTTCTAGTTCCTTTTGCTATTTTCCCTTGCCAGTTTCTTTTGAGGGTCAAACGAAAAGCAAAAGATAGTGCGGCCAGCGTGGGTACAACATGAACATGGCGCCTGACGTCCTGTAGCGTTGGCGGTGCAATAGAAAAAGGGTTGGCAGCTAGCCCCACAGCATCCATAGAACGACGAGGCATAAAACCACCACTGGGGCTATCCCCACCCACCACGGCCGCGCCACCTCGTTCGTCGATGTCGAGGTCGAGCTGGTCGGCTTCACGACGGTCGACTGGCCTTCCTTCTCCTGCGGACCTCCAAAGGCGTCGCGCTCAAGTTTAAGAATGGCCTGCGCGCCAGCGTGTCCCTGGGCCGCGGCCTTGCCAAACCAGCGGAGGGCCTCGGCGTCGTCCTGCGCCACACCCTGGCCGCTCGCGAGGGCCACGCCCAGGTTGAACTGGGCCGACGGGTGGTCGCCCTGCTCGGCGGCCCGGCGGAATAGCGCGGCGGCCTCCGTGTGGTCCAGCGCCACGCCGCGGCCGGTCGCGTACATGCTGCCCAGGTTGTTCATCGCCCGCACGTCGTCGGCCTGGTCCACGGCCCGCCGATACCACTCGGCCGCCTCGGCCTCGTTCTTCGCCACTGACTGGCCGTGGCCCACCTCGAGCAGCCGCGCGAGCAGGTACTGCGCGTTGGCGTGGCCCTGGTCTGCGGCCTTGCGGTACCACTCGGCGGCCCGCGCCCAGTCCTCGGCCACGCCCAGGCCCTTCTGGTACATCACCCCGAGGTCGTACTGCGCGTCGGTATGGCCCTGGGCCGCGGCCTTGGCGTACCAGGCGGCCGCCTGCTTGTCTGACTGGGCCACGCCCTCGCCCACCTCGTACATCTGCCCGAGGTTGTACTGCGCCGTGGCATCGCCCTTGGCCGCGGCCGTGAGCCACCCGTCCACCACCTCTCGGCCCGCACGCCGCATCTCCTTAAGGTGGCGCTTGGCCTCGGCGTGGCCCTGCCCGGCGGCCTTGCCGAGCCACACCGTGGCCTGCTCGATGTCGCGCTCGACCCCGAGGCCGCCGTAGTACATGCTCCCCAGGCTGTACTGCGCGTTGGCATCGCCCAGCGCGGCCGCCTTGCGGAAGCACTCGACGGCGAGCGCGTAGTCCTTGGGGCGGCCCTGCTCCCCGGTGCAGTAGGCGCAGCCGATCAGAAACTGCTCGTGCGCTTCCTTCGACGCACCCGGCTGGGGAAAACGAATGCGCACACGCACACGCGTGCGTGAGTAAGCACTACGCACATACCGCACGACGCACGACGCGCACGACACGCACTTACCTTGAGTGGCGCGGGCTTGCGGTCTGGGTCGGCGGGCTTCTTGCGGAGGTCGATGTTGTACCTACTCGTTTCAACCACCGCGGCGGCAGGTGAGGGACAAAGAGCGAAAGCGACGGAAGAAGGAGGACGAAGTGAGTCTCGGGGAGGGGGGCGACAAGAGATGAAGAGAGAGAGAGAGAGAGTGATTGGTGGCAACAGAAGTGTTGGAGAAGGAAGGAGTACTTGGTGCCCGGCTCGATGACGGTGTCCTTGTCTATGGAGCTGAGCTCTGCGCTCTTTTTGGCCCCGCCAGCTGCAGCTCCCTTCTTCTTGCCTTTGCGACTCTTTGCCTTCTTCTCCATCTTTTCGTTCTTTGTGTTGCCCGCCTCAGCTCCACTGTCTCGCACAACACAGATGGCCGAGCGAAGACACAGGAATGTGATGTCGACAATAAAGAGGTATCTCGCATTCCGCACACGCACCACGCAGACGGTCGCCGCACACGCGGTAGCACACACGACCATGCGACACCCGGGGGGGTATGGTAGAGTTTATTTACACGAACCACGCACTCTCTGGGGCTGGTCGTATGTACAGTGGATAGTCGTCAGTGAGTGCTGGGGTCTGGGGCGAAGTTTAGACGATGAAAGCCTTCTTGGCCTCCTCGAACGCGAAGCTCTCCCCGGTCGCCGGGTCGGTGAGCATCCCATCCCCGGCCATGGCCATTTGCTCGAGCGCCTGCTCCAGAGAACGCGCGTATGTTGCGCCGCACACGTTCAGAACGACACACACGACACTCACCGCACTACACGACGCACGACGCACGCCACGCACGCCACGCACGCCACGCACGCCACGCACGCCACGCACGACACGCACGACACGCACGACACACGCACCTTCCGGGAGTAGACGCGGCCGTTGGGGAGGGCGAAGGGCGCGTAGTCGTCGTTGTCGAACTGTTGGGCGGTGAGCTGGCATCGCACGCAGGACTTGGTGCGCAGCGAACTGGGCAGCGGGCCGGCCAGCTTGCCGATGTCCTCCACGCACACCGGGCACCCGCGCGACCGGCCCTCCTCGGCCCCGTAGCAGAACTGGGTCTTGAGCGACGACAGGCCCGCCTGGGCGGCGATGGCCAGCAGCGAGTGGGGCGGCAAGGCGTACAAGCGGTGGTTCTCCCGCCGTAACTCGTAGATCAGCTCCGCCCACCGCTCGTCGTCGAACAGCTCGCGGTAGGGCAGGGGCTTGCACACGGCGGCGGGGAAGGCCAGGGCGCCCATGGCCTGCTGGACCGTCGGCATGTGGCAGGGCTCCTTGGCGGCCATGGGCGCCAGGTGCTTGCGCGCGTAGGCGATGGCCTCCCGGCACCGCCCGCCACGCACCATCTCGACAAACTCCTGCAGCCGCAGGTTGAACTCGAGCGTGCTCCGGAGCTTGTGGAGCCGCTGGCGGTGCGAGGCGCACCACGCCAGCGCCAGGGCGCAGTCGCGGCGCTGGAGGCCATCGATCGCGGCTTGCGCGCTCGCAAAGAGCTCCACGTCGACCAGGTCCTGCCGCGGCAAAAACACGCTCGAGTTGGCTTGGGCGGGCCAAAGGAAAGGGCGCGTGTGGTGCGTACGGTGATGTGGGCCTCCTTGGCCAGCGACGCGGCCGAGGCGAGGTGCCCGCTGCGCAGCATGTGGTCCACGACGAAGCGGTTCGTGCGCGCCTTCAGCCACGCCCGCGCGGCCACCGCCGTTTCGTCGTCACTGTCGCTGTCGCCAGCACCGGTACCCTCGGCCGCCGTGGGTAGCTCTACGGCCTCTACCTCGTCGTGCTGGTCTGTCGTCGCTGGCGCGGCGGCTGCCTTGGCGTGAGGGTGCTGGGCGAGGTGGTCCAGCCGGGCCTTACACCGCGCCATCTCCTTCTGCTCGCCCCGTCGACTTTCCTCCAGCTTTGTGGGGAGGAGAATGATGGGAAGATTTGTAAACAGAAGATGGTGGATGCAGGAGAGGGGGGGGGGTGAGTACGAACCTTGCGCTTGAGCCCTTTGAGACGACCGACGAGGGCGCCCATTTGCTGGCGCGCATCATCGGGCGAGAGCTTGTCTTGTGTGGCGAGTTGCTGCACGGCTGCCGATACGTTGGCCAGCTCCTTCTCCACGTTGTGGGCGTAGCCACGGAACAATTCGCTCAGGCTCGCCCCCACCACCTGCAGCAGAGGCTGCTCCATCTCCATCTTGGGCTGTTGTTTGATTATTTATTATTTATTTTATTTTAATTGTCTCAGATTTATGACGTGGCAGGGAAAATCGAAGAAGAGATAAATCGAACAAGAGAAGTACAAAGCGAAGGGAAGGAATGGGACGCCGGTGGGACCGATGTCTCGATGCGACCCTGTGCTTCGCCACCTACTGCAAATGCGTAACGGAGACCCTCATCCGCTATGTGGGGCCGTTCTTCGTGGTCATCGCCCTCACCCTCATCTTGGGCGGCATCTACGTCTTCTTCGCAGCCATTTTCCCCTATCAAGTGCCCAACCCCTACACGCTCTACGGCGCCATCCATTTGGCATGGTGTGCCTTCTTGTTTCAAGGCCTCATGTTCAACTACCTCCTCACTATCATCACCCCTGCTGGCGCCCCGCCTCCTCCCGTACTTTCCTCCCACACTTTGGCTTTCGCTCATTCTTCAATGCGTAAACCCTCATTCATTTATATCTTTTATTTATTCATGGATTAATCCATTTATTTATTACTATTAATTCATCACTTATTTACTTATTTGTGCTGTTTGTTTTCACGCGCAGACGGACCTGAGCGCCGAAAGGCTGGCCCAGCTTGAGAGCGAGCGGGCACCCCGACGCGGCGAAGGCTTCAGCCGTTGGTGCAAGAAGTGTGCGCAATCCCAGAGTCGCACCGGTGCCCGCGTTTGATCACGCCTGCTCACACGGCACACACACACGGCACACACACGGCACACACGGCACACACGGCACACAGGTAGAGCGCCCAAGCCGGAGCGAACACATCACTGTCACGTATGCCGACGGTACGCACACCAGCACGGCACAAACATACCGCTTTCTGGACCAGTGTTGCTAACGCGTCGCCTCACACGCGGACCTTTGCTTCATGTGCGGCATCGCAGATGCGTGATGAAGATGGACCACCACTGTCGTACGTGCACCGTTCATCCACGTTGTTGCTTGGCTCCAAGACGTTTATAGATATGTACTCACTTAAACCACTCGCGCGATGAACTCAGCGTGGGTGAGCAACTGCGTGGGTCACTTCAACCATCGCTACTTTGTGCTGTTCCTGCTCTATCTCTTCATGGTGTGCGCTTACGGCGCGCTCATGTCCTACAGTCCCTTCATGGACTCGCACCGCTTCTCAGTGGTAAGACCACCCTCAGCCCCCATCCCCCTCCCCCTCCCCTCCATATGTGTCGATGCATCGACTGACGGCCATCGATGCCACGCGGCGCACGCGACTGGTGCCCAGCCGTGGGTTGGACTCTCGGCGCGAGGGACGATCGTGTTCATCTTCGTGTTGTCGGTGGCTGTGGGACTCGCGGTCGGGCTGATGCTGGCCTGGCACCTCTACCTCGTGCTCACCGGCCAGACGACGATCGAGTTCTACTTCAATCGGTACCGCATGCAGATGGCCAAGGAGCGTGGCGAGACCTACTACAACGAGTTCGACCTCGGCTACCGACGCAACTGGGACTTCTTCTTCGGCAAGGGCAAGTACGTTGTTCGTTCGTTCGCTCAAACCTTGGGTCCTGCCTAACCCACGTGACACGTCATCGCATTGCGCGCCAGGTTTTGGTTTTCTTGGCTGCTGCCCACTTTCACGCCGCCACCGGGTACGAGTACTCCCAGCGCATCGTCAATGCTGTGTGCCAGTCGACGCTCACGAGTGTTTGTGGGGTGCTTTGATGATGACGATGATTGCTCCTGTCCTGCAGGCGACGGCATCACCTACCCCACACGCACCGACGGCAAGACCAACTCCAGAGCCATGCGAAACTACGCACTGGTGTAGCTGCCGCTCGAGTTTACATGTGTTGTTAACACGTCAGGTTATTTATTTGCTTGTTGGTGTACATACAGCCGCAATAAAAAGAAAGACAGCGCGTATTTTATTTTTCTTTTTTTATTCGGTGTCGACGAATTTGGTTTGGTGTTGGTGGTAAAAAGCGGGGACGGAAATTTGGTCTCTTTCTTTCTTTCTCCTCCTGTATCGTGCATCGCTTGCCGGCCCCAGGTCCGATCCGAATCGAGAGCAATGCCTAAGCACAACAATCTGATCCCCAACCAGCACTTCCACAAGGCGTGGCAAAACCACGTCAAGACGTGGTTCAACCAGCCCGCCAAGAAGAAGAGCAGGAGGGTTGCCCGCGCCGCCAAGGCTGCCGCCATCTTCCCCAGGCCCGTCCAGGGTCCGCTCAGGCCCGTGGTCCACTGCCCCACTATCAAGTACAACACCAAGCTCAGGCTCGGTCGTGGCTTCACGCTTGAGGAGCTCAGGGTATGTGAGATCTCTCCATTCTGTCTCGCTGTGTGTTTTACGTGCTGTGGCTCTCTCGCCGCCAAAATGCGGAGGCTAATCTCTCCATTTTTGCTTTCATTTCAGGGTGCTGGCATCACCAAGAGGTTCGCCCAGACCATCGGTATCTCGGTCGACCACAGGAGGAAGAACAAGTCCGAGGGTCCCCTGGCCGACAACATCAACCGCCTGAAGCAGTACAAGGCTCAGCTCGTCCTCTGGCCCAAGAGGAAGGAGTCCAAGAAGCACCCCAGGAAGGCCGACGAGGCCGCCCCCGAGGACAGGGAGAAGGCCACCCAGCTCACCGGCGCCGTCCTTCCCGTCAAGCAGAAGGAGGTCCGCGTCAAGGCTCAGGTTGTGGAGCCCATGGGCAAGGGATCTGCTTTCGTCACCCTCCGCCGTGCTCGCGCCGACGCCAAGTACATCGGCATCAGGAAGAAGAAGGCCCTCGCCAGGGAGGAGAAGGCCAAGCTGAAGAAGAAGGACTAAACGAAACGTTGTCCCCTTTCAGCAGCCCTCGTCTAAACTGTTTATTCCCTAAACTAAAAACCTACACCGATTGGACCAACATCGCCTACTCTCTCTTCTGCCCGTTTGGCGGTTTCAAGGTCGATTTTTACCGGCGTTATTGCACAAATCGGCAGCATTATTACTTTCATTCCCCTCATTCACATTACCTTCTGATTGCCGACGGAATCGTCGTAAATGGCGTTCTTGTCATCAACAACATTTCACGTCTTTTGCCAGCACGAAAAAGGCGGCAAAAGAAAAAGCAGGGAAACCAAACATTCACAACACAAGAGATGAGGAGGCAGAGAGCATGCTGCCCGCCCAAGGAGGTGGTCGATATGACTGCGCAACAAGCGCAACCACAAGCCCTTGAGGAAGAGGACGACTACATGTCCGCCGCCTTTATCGTTGATGCCGCCCCTCCCGCAACATCATCCCAAGCACCCAAGCGCAAGCGAGGTACGCTTGCATCTTTATTATTACTTTATTTATTTATTTATTTCCAACAATCTGTTCGGCAGAGGTCCAGCCCGAGAAGAAGCCTCTCAAAGTGCTTGAGAAGGAGGTGCGCACCGGCTGTGTGGTGTGTAGGTGCGCTCGTGATGCCGACGCTCTCTTCATCCTCCATCACAGAAACTGAAGGAGGGCCTGGCCACGGCCATCTCGTCGGACAACAAAGGCTTCAAGATGCTCAAGATGATGGGCTACAAGTAGGTGGCTCTCCGTGCGTGGCGCGTGCGTACTCTGCTTAGCGAGCCGTTGCGCGGTGCAGGGAGGGCTCGGCGTTGGGGAGGAAGGCGGAAGAGAGCGAGGGTCTGAAGGAGCCCATCGCCATCTCGCTACGCACCGACCGATCAGGCCTCGGACGCCTGGAAGAGATCCAACGAGTCTCGGAGGATCAATTCAGGCAGAAGAAGGTAAACGTGAAACACAACACGCACACGGCATGACACACACGACACACACCGCACACACGACACTCATCGATGAACACATGCGCACGCACACACCCAGGCGCAAGAGCAGAATCTGGCAAGCACATACAAGGACCGGATGAAGGAGCGATTCGGTGAGCGGAAAGCGCACTCGCAGCTCAAGCAGGCGTTCAACATATGCGTGCAGCTGGACCAGGAAAAGGGCCTGGCCTACAGTCCCCACCTTAGGGAGTTCGAGGAGGAGGAAAAGCGAAAGGAGGCGGAGGGCGACGCCTACGCGCCCGTCGCCTGGGAGGTACCGTTCCGATTCCACCACGTGATCACTCGATTGTGCGCCGCACACGCACTTGCCCGACCTCACACCACCCTCTCGAACTGGCCAGTTCGAGGAAGTGCTGAGACGGCTGGACGCCGTGCTGGCGCATCTGCGGGAGCAACACTTCTACTGCTTCTACTGTGGCTGGTACGTTCGAACGAGCGTTCTGCTCTTTTCCCTTCATTCCCGAGTGAGACGAACACGCACGCGCGCGCACGCACTGAATCGCACTCACTCCCCACTCACCTTTTCAGCGCCTTCAACGATGCGGACGACTTGGCCCAGAACTGCCCCGGCCCATCAGAAGAGGACCACGAGTAGAGTAGAGAGAGTAAAGCCTCCTTCACTCTCTTCGTTCTTCTTGGCAACCTTTCTCGCTTTTTTTCAGGCCGTGATGATGATGAGCGGTGGGGAGGGGAAGTCGGCGAACCCCCAACGTCATGTTGTACAGATACCGCCTCCTTCAGTCACCCCCCCCCCCGCAGGGCTGGCCCAGGCGCACCCACGAAAAACAGACCACCAGCCGAGGAGTTGCTGACGTGGCGTCCGGCGAATGGCCGGGAGGGTACCTGGGGGAATCCGCGGAATGGATGTCTGGCCAGACCCAACGTGTAGCGGCTGAGTATAAAAGCGCGAACGACACCACTTCTTCACTTCCACATAGCACAACAAGACCTCTCTCTCACACACAAGACACATCACAAGATGGCCCAGCAGGAATACTCCATCGGCGGTATGATTACCTTCCCCCAGCTTACGGCCAGCTACGGCCTCATCAGCGGCGTCATTGGCGCTGCCTCCCTGGTACTTCTACTCCTCTACTTTCTGCTTTCTGGTGTATTGGAGAAGAAGAAGACGTGAAGAGGTGCCTTGTGGTACTTACCTTCTGTGCGTCTCATTGGACAGATCAATCCGCACCTCTGCTACGACTTGGTGGGCCAGCCTTCGAGGTGGGTTCCCATGCTCGAGTCCTCATCGGGTCTCTACACACTGCGGCTGTTCGGGTACGTGCTATCTTTTGTGAGACCTCTCTTGTACCAGCTCAAGGCTGTGCTAATCCCACCACTTCTTGCTGTGCGCAGCCTGCAGACGGTGGCGCTCGCTGCCGTGTCGCTTCATGCGGCTTTCAACATCAGAGAGCCTTCCAAGCGCCAGCAGCTCAGCAACGTCCTTGCCGCCCTCAACCTTGGCAGTACGTGGCCCTTTACCGCGCTAGGCTGGCGCACTGCAGGTCTTTCTTCTTCGAGGTGGTGCTAACCACGAAGCCCGACGTTCTGTTCAACAGACGGCCTGATCGCGGCGTGGATGTACAAGGAGGGCATCCTCAACCCGCTCGGCGTGAGCATCCACTCGGGCCTGAGCATGGCGCTGGGTCTGGGCTTCCTGGTCTACGGCCTGCGCGAGGACCGCCGAACCGGTGCGGGTGAGCCTGCGAGAGACTAGGACGTACGCCTTTGGTCTGGTTCTTCGTCTTCTCCACCGCTACACCTCTCTACGCGCCTCTCGTCTTCTCCTTGACGCAACGTCTCTCTCCTTGGCCAAGAAAAGGAAATGGGTGGGAAGTTCTTGCGGGCTGGGACATGAAAATACAAAACGACTCCTTAAACTTTATCGGCCGACAGCCAATAGGAGTGAATTTACGGCTATTAAATTTGTGCCGCCCAGCACAGAAGAAGCAAAGGAAAGAGGCACTGGACCACTCATCACCCGACACGTCAGGCGGCGCCAGGCACGAGAACCGGTTTTGTGCGCCTGCTAGTCATTCCTCCATTCCCAGTAGAAGATGAAGGCCATCGCGTCGCTCCTCACCATCGCCTTCCTGCTGTGCGGCTTCGCCGCCATCACCCCCGCCTCGGCCCAGGAGACCTGCCCTCTGTGCCAGTTCGCCGTCCAGGTACCATCATCATCTTCTCCATCAAGTGTCGGGGCAGAGATCATCATTCTGTGTAGAATGTGATTAAATTCGATACACGGCTCATCTCCATTTGCGATACGAACGTGCAGTACATCGATGGCTATCTGCAGCAGAACTACACCCAGGCTCAGATCATCAAGCAGCTCGAGGTCGTGTGCGCTCTGCGCCGGAGCCCTTCCGTGACCAGTGCGACTCGTTCGTCGAGTACTACGTCCCCGTCCTGATCAACTACATCATCAAGTACGAGGGTACGCTCTACTCCCACTCGAACCAAACGACCTCCTTCTCCTAATCAATCTTCATTTCTGATGATGGTTGCTTTTAGATCCCCAGAACGCGTGCCAGCAGCTTGGTCTCTGCACCTCATTCGCCGCTGAGCCCGAGATCGTTGTTGCCGATCTTGAGAAGTTCCCCGAGGTTGTCGAGGTCGTTGAGGGTACCATCTCATCTAATCTCCCATTCATTTCAATTTCCTCCAATCTTTGAAATTGATTGTAATTGGCTCTCTTTCGTCTGCATTAAGCAGCCAGCCCCGAGGATTGCCAGATCTGCAAGATGCTCGTCGGTTTCATCGAGTCCTACGTGCAGGCCAACCAGACCATCACCCAGATCGAGTCTCTCCTCGGTCGCGTGTGCCGTCTGACCCCCTTCGCCTCGCAGTGCGTCGTGTTCGTGGACACCTACACCCCCCTCATCGTCCAGTACATCCAGGCCAACGAGGGTACGCTCTTCTACGGCGGCACTGGCACGCGTGAGTTCAATCAAATCTAATCTTTCTTCGTTCTTTTTTGTCGGCCAGATCCCCAGACCGTGTGCCAGCAGATTGGCGTCTGCTCTTCGCAGGCCGTCCGTCAGGTCGCCGCCGTCAAGTTCAACTGAGCTCTGACTCCACCCTTACGGTGTTCTTCGGCGAGGCAAGGTCCATCTTTTTCATCTCGCATAAACATAAGCTTCCAAGGTGAAGTTGAGCAGCAGTCTGGTTGAGTTCCACCAGTGGTTGGCGCTACACGTTATGGACACGTTAGGAGAAAACCGGTCTTTTCAGCCGCGGAAAAAAACACGGTTGCCTAACAGCATCACTTCTTTTCAAGCTCGTGGGCTTCTTAATTTATCTCCGAAGCTGCTAAGGCACACGCCTTGGCTTGGGGGCCGACCTAGAAGATTCATTTGGCAACACACAACACACAACACAACTAAACCACAGAGGCCATGCTAGCGAGGTTCCGTGCCAGGCGAGCCACCCTTCTTGTGGCCTTTGCCTTCACCTTATGCACCATCTTTGCCATCAATTTTTTCGCCACCGGCTCCTACGACACAGTACACTCGAGTAGTACGTACAGCTGGTCGAGCCTCTCAGCATACCTGCCATCTGTATCAGATGGCGAAGGCACCCTCCGACCAGACTGCGCCGTCGCTTCGAAAGATGATGAAGAAGATGATGAAGAAGACGTCACCCGGACCCACCCGGGCGACCCGCCCTTCGTCAAACTCGACGACCTCCTCGCCTCCGCCAACTCCGCCCGCCTCGCCCGGCAGCGCCGGCCCGCCCGCGGCTGCCCGCCCCCGTCCACCGGCCGCCTGTGCCGCCTGGAAGACGTGTTCGACGAGATCATCGTCATCTCTCTGCCGCGCGCCACCGAGCGGCTGGCCCGCGTTCGGGCCCAGCTGCGCGCACTGGGCGTGCCCTACACGCTGGTCCACGCCGTCGACGGCCGGCTCATGGGCGGCTCGGCCGAGCTGGCCAAGCTCGTCATGGCCGACCAGCGCGACCAGCACCCGGGCGTGTTCAGCCTCTTCCTCACGCATCTGGGTCTCCTGGAGTACGTGGCCCGGTCGCCGGGCCTCGAGCGGGTGCTGCTGCTCGAAGATGACGTCATCCTCTGCGCCGACTTTCCGCGCGCCTTCGACACGCGCGTGCGTCGCATTCCAGACGACTGGCGCCTGCTGTGGCTCGGCGGGGTGGTCGACTGGACCAGTCGCTACAAGAACGCCGAGGCCCTGGATCACTTTGTCGACGCCGGCTTCGCCCGGCCCGTCACGCTCTGGTCGTCGTGGGCCGTCGGCATACACCGCGAGGCCGCGGCCGTCATCGGCCCGACCATGGTCGCCGCCCGCGGCGCCATTGACCAGAAGGCCTACCAGGAGTGCATCGCCAAGTGGCCCGACCAAACCGTGCTCATGTGGCCGCCCGTGGCCATGACCAACCCGTACCACGGCTCGCTGCTGGGCCACAACTGGGGCATACCGCCGGCCGTGTGGGCGCGCAACAACGGGCTCGACTTGGCCCACTACGACCTGGCGCGCGGCTACCACACCGGCGGCGAGCTGGGCGCCGACGTGCGCTGCGTGGTCGACCGCAACGACGCCGGCGGCAGCGACGACGACTACGGGGCGTGGGAGTACCCCAAGGCGCAGATCGCGGGCCGGGCGGTGACGGCGAGCGCGGCCGAGTGCTGCGCCCGGTGCTCGGCCTACTTCCCGCAGTGCCAGGCCTGGCTGTGGTACCCGCCGCTCGCGACCAACAGCGCCCACCGCAACAGCACATGCGTGATGGCCTTCGACCCGGCCGCGCGCGTGCCGTCGGCGCCCCGCAACGACTCGAGCGGTCTGGTCGACGTGGCCGTGTCGGGCCGGCTCGTGCAGGAGGACAGCGTGCCACGCGTGCCCAACGTGGTCCACTTTGTGTCGCCGCGCACGACCACCACCAAGCCGCGGCCGGTCGATGTGTGGACCTACCTGGCCGTGCTCAGCGCGGCGGTCAACGCCGAGCCCGACGAGATCCGGTGGCACCACGGCGGCGACGGCGGCGGCGGCCACCTGCTCGAGGGCGCGTGGTGGGAGTGCACGCGGCAGCTGGTCGTGCCCCTGGAGCGCATCTTCAACGAAGGTGCCGACCTCACCGACGACGCGCACAGGGCCGACGCGGCCGGGATCGAGGTGCTGATCGAAGAGGGCGGCGTCTACCTCAACACCGACGCGCTCGTGCTGCGCTCGTTCGAGCCGCTGCGCGCGCGCGAGGTGGTCACGCTCGCGACCGACGGGTTCAACAGCAGCGCGCTGGGCGTCGTAGTGGCGCCGGCGGGCGCGGTCTTTCTGCGTCGGTGGTGGGCCGCCTACCAGGCCGGGTTCGACCGGAACAGCAGCAACGCGCTGGAGCACCACAAGTGGCTGGGCGAGCTGACGCGGCGCATGGCCAAGGAGTTGCCCGGCGAGGCCCGGCTGCTGTCGCACGCGGCCTTCTACCCGCGGTCGTACGCGCCGGCCCAGCTCAAGGTCGCCTACGAGGCCGACGACTGCGCGCTGGGGCTCGAAGCCGAGTCGTTCACGGTCTACCGATACTCGGCCGAGGCCCAGGCGACGGCGGCGACCGAGGCGGAGAGGCGCGCGGGCCTCAACGACTGGCCGCCGGCGGACGAGCTGGAGGCGGTGTGGATGGGCAAGGGCAGCCTGCATCGGGTGGCGCGGGCCGTTCTGCGCAAGGCGCTGGCCAGAGGGCAGCTGTGTGCGGTGGCCGAGAAGGAGGTGCGGCGGCTCGCGGCCCGCCGAGACACACCCACCTGCCCCCCCTAAGCCACAAGAAAGATTTTATATTTTGTCTTTATATTATCATCTATAAAAACAACAATAATGGAAGAGCGAAGTTCTTCTTTTATGATTTGCTTCGTAGTACAAGCGACACGGCTGAGAGCGTCTACTGGAAGTACGGGGTGGCGGCGACGAGCTGGTCGAAGTTGATGGTGATGGTGCTGGTGGCCGGCAGCCCAACGCCGGGCGGACCCTGGGTGCCGGGAGCGCCGCCGGGCACTCCACCGGGCACGCCGGGCACGCCGCCGGGCGGACCCTGGGCAGCGGGCGGCTGGCCGAACGTCTGCGTCGGCTGACGCGCGTAGAAGTCGAAGTAGGACCTGCAACACCACAACCACGCGATGAGTGTCGTGTCATGTCGTATCGCGTGCGTGCGGTGTTGTGTCGTGTCGTGTCGTTACCTGAGGCTGGCGAGGAAGAGGGCGACCTCGGTGTAGGCTTCGAGGGTGAGACCAGAGCGGTTGGGGTCGAAGCGGCTCAGCACGCTGTTGATGCCCTGCGGGCTCAGCTGGAAGCCGCCGTTGGCCAGCGCCAGGCTGATCTCGTTCCCTAGACACCACGGGAGTGAGTGCGTGCGTGCGGTGTGTGTGTGTGTGTGTGCATGCGTTGTGTGCGTGTGTCGTGTGTGTGTTGTGTGTGTGTGTGTGTGTGTGTGTGTGTGTGTGTGTGTGTGTGTGTGTGTGTGTGGCGGTTGTGTACAGTTGTCGAGCTTGCCCGAGCGGTCGTGGTCCTGGGTGGTGAAGGAGTTGCGCAGGGCCAGCACGAACTGGTAGAGGCACACGAACTCGTTGACGCCCAGGTGACCACTCCTATCCAGGTCAAACGTCGTCAAGAGGCGCTTCAGCGAAGCCGGACCGAACGTGAGCTGTGGCCCCGTTCGCACGCAACAACAAAAATCAGGAAAACATCCAAGAAAAGAAAAAAGAATATAAATGAATAAACAAAGCCAGAAGTCGACAACAAACCCAACGGTGTCACCAAAGGTGGACCAGCGAGTGTTGTGTTGTGGGGAGGGAGGGGCGTACGCCAGCCTGCTGGAGGGCACGGCCCAGTTCGGCCTGGTCCAGCTGTCCACTCCTGTCAGTGTCGATGGCGCTGAACCACGCTAGATGACGAGAGAGAGAGAGAGAGAGAAAGAAGAGAGGGGTAGAGTTAGTTGGCAGGTGGCTGTGTGGGCTTAGGAGGGGGCGCGTGTACCTTGAATTTGGCTGATGAGCTGCGAGTCGGTGCCGTAGTACGACGCGAACCAAGGACGAGCGTGGGAACCCCAGGTAGGCTGCTGCATGTTGACTTGTTGTTGAAGAAGAAGGTGAAGATGGAGGGTAGTTGGTAGTTGAGGAAAATGATGGCTGTGTCAACCCACTACTATTTGTGTGTGCCAAGTCGGGGCCTGTGGACTGAGTGGTCGCTGAATTTTGGTAGGCTCCATGGTCTCCCTTCGTGTTTTCTGTGCAGCGCCAGGATTCGTCACTTGTGTATGCCGGGCATGTGCTCGTGCTAGTGTCCGCCCAATCACAAAAATAATAAAAATAAAAAAGCAAAAAAAGAGAAATTTGTGTGGTGCAGTCGTGGTCACCTTCGACATCAGAGCTGAATGACGGGGCCGGCGTAGGGCTCGCGCTTGACGGGCTGGTGGTAGAGCGCGCGCTGGGCGTCGCGCTGGGCCACGCTGCCAAAGGCCGGACCCCAGCACGGCCGCGGCACGTAGCGGCCCCAGCCCTGGGCCGGGACCAGCTCGCCGTCGCGCCACACGACGCGGCCGCGCACGAGGGTGGTCACCGCCACGCCCTGGACCTCCATGCCCTCGAAGATGTTGAAGTCGACGGCGTGGTGGTGCGTCTTGGCGCTGATGGTGCGCTTGGCGTCGCCGTCCCAGATCACGATGTCGGCGTCGGCGCCCACCTCGATGCGGCCCTTGCGCGGGTAGATGTTGAAGATGCGCGCAGCGTTGGACGACGTCACGCCCACAAACTGCGTGTCGTGTCGTGTCGTGTAGCGTGAGTGCGGTGTGTGCGTGTGTGCGGCGTTAAGTTGTGTAGTAAAATGATCGGATGACGATGAGAGGCGTGTGTGCACCTGAGAGCGAGTGAGTACGCCGGTGGCGACGCCCTTGGTCCACACGATGGACATGCGGTCCTCGGTGCCGTTGAGGCCGTTGGGGATGCGCGTGAAGTCGTCCTTGCCCAGGGCCTTCTGGTTGGCGTTGAACGTGCAGTTGTCCGTGCCCACCGTCTGCAGATCGCCCGAAGCCAGCAGACGCATCAAGTGGTCCTGCAAGGGAGTCCAAATAGCGTGGTTAGCGTGTGTCGTCGTGTGTTGCGCGTGTGCGGTCGTGTCTCGTGTGGTGTGTCGTGTGTTGCGCGTGTGCGGTACCTTGGTGGTGGGGTCAGGGCGGAGGGGGGGACCCATGACGTAGGCAGCCGCGTGGCGCCAATCGTGGTGCCAGCAGTGAGAGCCGTCCGTGCCGAGACCAGCAGCGATGGGCTCGCCGTACACCAGCTTGCCTCGCTGGCGGGCGTCCACGACCTTGTTCGCTGCACCCTACACTCCGTAGAAACTCACAGTTTGAGCAACATGTGTGTCGTGTCATCGCGCGCGTGTGTGCGTGTTATACCTTGGACATGACGTGAACGATGTAGATGGGCACGTTGACCTGATCGGCGATGGTGATGGCTCGGTGGGTGGCTTCGGCCTCGACCTCCTCCGGGCGGGACATCAGATGGCCCTCGGGTCCGCAGATGCCGAGCTCCAGCATCTTCTTCTGGCCCTCCGCGACCAGGTGCCCGTTCTCCGCATGCACCTGCGAGCCACCGTGAGCTGCGCGCGCACGCATGACACGACACGACACGACCAACGACACGACACGCACCTGAGGAAGGGCGCCCAATTCTTTGCAGCGGGTGAAGGCGTGGAAGAGCTTGTCGTCCTCGAGCATGAACACGCCCTTGTAGGCCATGAACATCTTGAACGAGTTCACGCCCCGCTCCTCGGCCAGAACCTTCATCTCGTCGGCCACCTGGTCGCTCCACCAGGTGACGGCGACGTGGAACGAGTAGTCGCAGTTGACCTTGGGGTCGGCCCACTGCTTCCACTGGTCGTAGGCCTCCAGCAGCGACTGGCCCTTCTGGGGAATCACAAAGTCCACTACGCGTTGCGAGCAGCGTTTAGCATAAGCGCGAGTCGTACACGTGTGCGCGTGTGCGTGTGTGCGTGTGTGTGCGGCGAGGAAAGTACGGATCATGGTGGTGCCTCCCGCAACGGCGGCCTGAGTGCCGATGTCGAAGTCGTCGGCGGCAACGGTGCCCATGAAGGGCAGCTGCATGTGCGTGTGCGTATCAATGCCGCCTAGAACAAGAGACGAACCACCCAGAGACAAACCATCAAACGAACCGAGCGCTCGTGGTGAGCAGCGTCGCAACTCTGACGACCACGACGTGTAGTCGTGTTTAGATGAAGAGAAAGGCGGTGTGAACGTACCGGGTAGGACGAACTTGCCGGTGGCGTCGAGGCGAAGGGCGTCAGAAGGGACGTTGAGGTCGAGCCCTACGGCCTTGACCACGCCCCCCTCGACCAACACGTCGGCCCTCCACTCCCTGTGGGCGCCCTCATTCAGCAACGTTGAAGGATTTGTTCAGAAATGATTAATCCAAAATCTTTCTACGCGAGTTGTAATTTAAGTGTACGCACCGGTCGTCGTTGACCACAACGCCGCCGTGGATGAAGACGGGACGCTCGCTTGGTGAGTTCATAATTGTGGGAAGTGTGTAAAAATGTGACTCTGCCGATTTTGGTTGTCTTTGAACCCGCAATATCTCGGCCAGCCTTGCTGACGTCAGCACCAAACGAAAGGGGGTCGTGTTCAAAGCAGAGCTACTCGAGAATGAGTGGACCAAACCGACCGCCTGATCGAAAGCAGCGTCTGGAGGTTCGGCGCACGGTTGTCCCCACGATCAGCATACGGTGCGAGGAGGGCAGCATTTGCCGTTGGTTGCGCACTTGGTGCTGTTGATCTGATTGAGTCCAAAGTTTGGAGCAAGAGAAGATGAGGCTAAGTCGAGCGAAGCAGCGTGGGATCAGACAATACAGTACCTGGTTCCACGTGAGACCCTGGCACTGGTCGCGGCAGTAGCCGATGAAGAACGCCGAGTGGCCGCACATGGCCACGCCATCGAGCTTGGAGCTGCGAAGGTGGAGTTGGACAACAGAGGGTCAGCGCCCAGTACAATGAAGAGGCGTAGTGTAGGCACTTACCTGCCGCACATGGCTACGTCGTGGTCGCACATGGCGTAGCTGTTTGTGCACGACGTGACATGTGAGCTCATACTCGGAGGAGTGCAGGGGAGGGGCGAACGTACCCATACATGGTGATGTCACACTCGTTGGTGATGAAGCATTCACCGGTGGTCCTGTTCCATGTGCTTTGGAGGCACGGCACCTGGGGACCACGCTCGCCCACTGCCCCGCACGTACGCACAACAAAGTCCCTTTTAGCTCCGCTATGGGTGTAAAAATGTAGCGAGGGGGGGGCACGTTTGCTGCCGGCGGCGTTGGAGACGGTGAGGATCGTCGCCACCACGAAGACACAAACCAACGCTAGGATAGCACTGCCTCCGCCTGCTCGCTCCATCTTTCGTTCTTCTTTTGTTGCTCGGAAGTCTTCTTCGTAGGTTTCCTGAAGCTCGTCGACAAATAATGACTCGATTTGCGCTTGACATGTTGGGGAGAGGGGCTATGATTAGGCCATCTCAAGAGGCCACGAAGGCTTCACGCAGGACTCAACAGTGCGGCATGGTGTGCAAATCAAATACATCATCTATAATCCAAAATAAAATTGCAAATTGCACAATTCGTGTAGTGTAAAGTTGGTGGAGAACATGAGGCGTTGTGGCACGTCCGCTACGCCTCTGGCACGCCCTGTGCTTTGGTTGTGGCCAAGAGCGTCTGCCTTGTCTGGCCGGGCTGTTACGTTGTACAATCTGACCAGAGGCACGGCACTCGGCTCTGGTTGTTTCACTTCCGCGCCAGCTGCACGCAAGCCACACCTCCTCGCCTCTCGAAACAAGACACGCAACTACTCAACCATGCAGAAGGGCACTTCCTACTCTCTTGGTACACGCCTTTCCTTCACTTTGTCATCATCGTCATTTAATTGGATAATTCATGAACTGCTCGTCGATTTGATTACTCTTCACTTTACCTTGATAATCCACCAATCAATGAATCTTTTGCAATAAAATTCATCTGTGCAGGATTGGAAACGCATCCGGTGCCGATGGCCATGTTCCGCGAGAACAGGGAGCGGCTGATCGCTCGCTTCGAGAAGAGCGCTGAGGGCACGCCCGAGGGCAGCGTGGTCCTGCTGCGCGGCGGCAAGGCCAAGATGCGCCACGAGACCGACCACGAGCACCTCTTCCGCCAGGAAAGCTTCTTCCACTGGACCTTTGGCGTGGCCGACCCCGACTGCTTCGGTGCGATCGACCTCAAGCGCCGTCGCGCCATCCTCTTCATCCCCCGCCTGCCCGCCGAATATGCCGTGTGGATGGGCAAGGTACGGACCGACACGGACAACCTGAGCGCCTGAGTTCTCTTGCTCACAGTGCGCGCCGTGCACCGCACACGCACGAACACACACACACACACACACACACACAATGCCAGATCGCATCGTGCGAGGACTACACCGCCCGGTACGAGGTGGAGGAGACGTACTACGTGGATGAGATCGACGCCGTGCTATCGAAGCTCAATACCAAGATCATCTACACCCTCCACGTACGTTCACTCATCATCATCATCGTCACCATCGTCATCGCCTTTGACTTCTTCGTTTTGGCCTGGTATTTAAACAATGCGTGCTTGCTTGGGTGTTTGGGTTGACGGCCACCAGGGCCTCAACTCGGACTCGGGCAACTATGCCAAGCCGGCCACGTTCCCCGGCATCGAGAAGTACCGCGTGGACAACGGCCGCCTGTGGCCCGAGATGGTGGAGTGCCGCGTGATCAAGACGCCGATGGAGCTCGACGTCCTGCGCTACGTGTGCCGCGTCAGCTCCGAGGCCCACGTCGCGGTGATGAAGCAGTGCAAGCCCGGCATGATGGAGTACCAGCTCGAGGCCCTGTTCCAGCACGAGGTCTACTCCCGCGGCGGCTGCCGTCACGTCGCCTACACCTGCATCTGCGGTTCGGGCCACCACGGCTCTATCCTCCACTACGGCCACGCCGGTACTCGCCCCATCGTCGTGTGCTGTATGCTGTGTGCTGTGGTCAGGCCTAACTCGAAGCGGATTCAGGTGCCCCGAACGACAAGCAGCTGGCCGACGGCGACCTGATGCTGCTCGACATGGGCGGCGAGTACCAGTGCTACGGAGCCGATATCACCTGCTCCTACCCGGCCAACGGCCGCTTCACCGAGAAGCAGAAGGTGGTCTACAACACGGTCCTCGCCGCGCAGCAGGCCGTCTTCGCGGCCATGAAGCCCGGCGTGGCGTGGATGGACATGCACGCCCTGGCCTATCGCACCACCCTCCAGGAGCTCGCCCGACACGGCCTCGTCAAGGGCGACGTCGACGCCATGATGGATGCCGACCTCGGCGTACGCAGACCCCTTCAGCCCAGTGGAATTCTGAGAATGTCTGCACCCACTAACGGCAAACCACTGTTTCTCGTGGTGAGCGCAGGCCGTCTTCATGCCGCACGGCCTGGGCCACTTCCTCGGCATTGACACGCACGACGTGGGCGGCTACAGCACGGGCGCCGAGCGCAGCACGCGCCCCGGCTTCAGGAGCCTGCGTGCCAACCGGTCGCTCGAGGCGGGCATGGTGCTCACCGTCGAGCCCGGCGTGTACTTCATCGACCCGCTGCTCGACAAGGCCATCGCCGACGACAAGCAGAAGCAATTCATCAACGTCGACAAGGTCAACGAGTTCAGGGGTACGTTCCCTTTCTATGTGGTTGGGTCACTCGTGTGTCGTGTCGTGTCGTTGTTCGGTAGTTGACAGGTCTATCAGGAATTGGCGGCGTGCGGCTGGAGGACGATGTGATTGTGACGGCCGACGGCATCGAGAACATGACCAAGTGCCCTCGCACCGTCGAGGAGATCGAGGCCATCATGGCCGAGGGCAGGAAGTCGCACTGAGCCCGTCTTCTTCCTCTACGAGGCCTTTGGAACTGAAGCAGCCCATCATTCCTTGTTGATGTGTAAGTACATGGACCATCAAGAGACAACACACGCAAGTTGGGCACACGCTACCCCAACGCAAAACGTAAATTCGGAAACATTCAACAGTTTGGATCTTGAGAAGAAATAAGAGAGCAGATGTCATCATCCAAAAAGACTGAAAGGACGGCCACAGAGTTCAGCTTTGGCATAATACCATTGAGGCGCAAGCTTCGCGATGCACCCCTCTCGCTCGACAATCTGGAGATTTTGTTGATTGAGCAAAAGGTCGGGCACAGGGGGAACAAGCACGGACGGCAGTGGTGCTTCCCCAAGGGCCACCGCGACCATCGAAAGGAGCCGCCCCTCGACTGCGCCAAGCGCGAGCTCGAAGAAGAGACCAATCTTCGCGTAGCGGCTTTCATCTTCGACGTCAATGACGAAGCGGGCCGAGGCCGCTACGCGAGCGAGTACTTCAACCCCGTTCGCCGGTGCTGGAAGAGATGCGAGTACTGGGTGGCCGAGGTCGAGGAGGGCGAGGTGCGCGTGCAGGAGGCCGAGGTGGCCGACGCCGCGTGGCTCGACTTTGATAGTGCCATCAACAGACTCACCCACCCCGAAGACCGAGATGTGCTGGAGAGGGTGAAGGCCGACCTTGGGTCTTTTTCCTCTTCGTGAGGTACCGACATCATCAGCTGCTACATGAAACATGACCTTTTAGGGGAGGAGATTGGAAGCTTCATCCCTGATAGGCGTCTCACATACACTCCAGTGGAGCTTCTTGTTCCTCTTTTCATTGTGCACCACCGTGTGACAGACAACTTTTATAAGTTGGTGGGACGGTGTCGAAAGACTCGCAGTGGGCGAATCGCCGTCGCCAACGCCCACCAATCCAAAGGCACCCTCGGCCACGCCCACCATGTCGACGACGCCCTCCAGGTCGGCCGCGCCCAGCCCTTCCAGATCGCCCACGCCCTCGACATCGACGTCGCCCTCCAGGTCGGCCATGCCCAGCAGTTCTAGGACCCCCTCGCCCTCGATGTCGGTGGCGCTCTCGATGTCGGTGACCCCCTCAGCCACCCCCTCAAACTCGCCCACAAGATCGGTGACGCCCTCGACATCGCCGACGCCCAGCATTTCCGGGAACCCAACGCGACCTCGACTGTGACACCTTCGATCTCCCCCTCGCCGACGAAGTCGGTGTTGCCTACAGTCTCCGCAACGCCCTTGATCTTGGACAGTGCCACTGCATCGGTCTCGCCCTCGCGCAGGGCGTCGCCCACTTCGACCCCTGCCCCGTTGGTGTCGCCGCTGGCTGCCAACTCGACCTTTGGCGGCACGGAGCCCCATCGACCTCTCAACCTCGTCGTCCGCCCAACACTGTATTGCCTACATAATTTTATTTCGCTCCACGGCCAAACTGAGTCAGCAGCTGACCGTGGTCAAACGTGCGGACAATACGCCGCGGGCCAACATGACCTCGTACTCCTGGCCCTGTACGCTCAAGTTTGGTAATGAAAACGACAAGAAACTTGGGGAAAAGGAGGGAAAACAGGTTCGAAACAATGCGCAGGCTTTCTTTCAAGAAAAACAAAGCTCTGTATTGGCCCTTTTTAGGAAACTGCCCACAGGACAAGAAGAAGTAAATAAGATATAATGAGGAAAAAATAGGCCGCACACTTCATCGCAGAGGCGTCATGCCTGCAGCTGCAGTGCTCATTCGAGGGCTGCCCTGCCTCTGGTTGGGCTTCTTCTGCCTCCTTGCGTTAGCTACGACCATCTCAGCTGTCCACCACGCAAATCGGCCACACCGACGAGAGGAGATGAGCCAAGCCAGAAGGCAGGCGCAGTCGGCCTCGAGCACCCCCTCGCACTCGCCAAGTCCCACTTCGACCCCGCCCAGGTACAGGCCGGCCTCGCGCACGCCCTCGCCGCCACTTCGTACCGCCACGCCCACGCTCTCGCCCACGTTCCCGGGCACCCCATCGCCCTCCGTGTGGGATGTCACCCCGACCCTGTCTCCCACGTTCCCCGGCACCCCTACGCCCGCCGCGTGGGATGTCACCCCCACGCTCTCGCCCACTTTCCCCGGCACCCCTACGCCCGCCGCGTGGGACGTCACCCCCACACTCTCGCCCACTTTCCCCGGCACGCCCACGCCATCGGAGCTCAAGACTGCGACGCCGTCGCCCCAGAAACCCTCCCGCAGCCCATCGCCGATGTATCCCACTGGCACGGTCGTGCCGGGCAACCTGACGTCGGGCGGCGGAGGCAGCGGAGGCGCTGATCTGGGCCTGATCGCCGGTGTGGTGGTGGCGATGCTCGTGCTAGTCGGGGTGGTGGCGTTGGTGGTGGCGGTGGTGGTGGTGGTGCGCGCGCGGCGCCGACGCACAGATCCGAGACAGGTGGGCGGGAGGGCCACCGAATGGGAGCTCGAAGAGATGCCGTCCGCACACAACGTGTCCCTTATGGCCTCACCGCTGTTCAGCGGGAAGGCGACCACCTTCACCAACGAACTCTACAACATCGGTGAACCGACTAACAACAACAACAACAACATCAACAGGACAAGAAGCTTCCGCTTTTTTTGAGATGATCACCACACAATACAGCTTTGAATGCAATCTGTATTCAAGGTCTCAAAAGTGTGCGTTGTGTGACTTCGTGATCGACCACCTCATGTCGAGCACATCACGTTTCTCACGAGCATCAGACCAACATCCCCCATCCATCCGCTGGGCGCCATAGCCGGTGCCCACCATGGAACCGGAAGGCCACGGATGTAACAGAAAGGGGGGAAAAAAACCGCGGTATGGCCTGACCTTTTATGGGAATGTCCCTCAAGTTCATAACTTTCAACATCTTCTTCCCTCACGACCACCGCCAGCAGCACCATCACTGCCACAGATTTCGCAGCATATTATCCTCTACCCATGGGTGAGGCCTCTCGCTTGCCAGGCGGCTTGCGTTGGGGCTGCTGGGCATCAATATCATCCATCATCCTGTATATCCTCCTGCTCCAACAGCTGGTGGACCTATCCACCGCTATCGACTACCGCGTGGAGTACTCGCAAGTGCGCCTCTCGCTGGACTGCAGACTGTACCCCTCCACCCCCTCAAACCCCAGGTCTGTGTAGTCAGTGCTTGATTGGCTGGGGTGTTGTTGTTGTTGTTGTTGGGCAGCTTGGACACAGACAACAACGAGGAGTGGGCAATCACGCTCAACGTGGCGGGCCAAACCAAGTGCTTGGTCTTCTACACCGACAACACGATGCCCTTCGCCAGCCCCATCGACCCCAACCGACCCCTCTGGGAAGCTGAGTTCTCCGCCCCGGCGGGCCAGACCTTCCGCCTGGGCTTCGAGGCCTGGGAGAAGCAGGCGGGTGGCCCCATGTGCGTGTTCGAGAATGGCGACAACCGCAACAACTACCTCCGCTGGGTCGAGCCGCTCACCAACCTGAGCCAGCTGGCTCCCAACGAGCAGCGGGCGTTCTCGGCCAGCAGGGCGTTTACGCAGGCCGGCAACTCCTGCACTGTCACCATCATCGGCTCCGTTGCCCGCAAGGCATCGGTTCGCAACTTCCCACCTCTCCACCAAATCGATTGCGCCTTTGTAGTTTCTATATCGCAACACGACACGCACACGTTATGGCACACATGATGACACGCACGCACGCACACACAGCCGGGCGCACCGCGTATCGTCAACGCGACCATCGAGGTCGTGTCGGGGGGCGTCTCGCCTCTGAAGCTCACCGTGCACGGCTACGACCTCAACCCCGAGCCGATCGAGGCGCCCGTGCTGCAGGTCACCGGACTCAATGCCGAGTGCATCGCCAGCACGCTCACGACCTCTGGTTCGTCCTCCACCAACATGTTGAGAAATTTATATATATCCCAGTTTCAACCTGTATTCTGGCCTACATAATAATAATAATAACAATATTGGGGTGGTGGTGTGAGCGCAGACACGCAGCTGACGTGTCTGCTGACGAGGCTGGCGTCTGCCGAGGTGTCGCAGCTGCAGATGGCGCAGGTGCAGGTGCAGACTCGCCTGGGCATGTCCCGCACGGCCTCGGCGGCCTTCCCCACGTGCCAGCCCGACTGCGAGAACGGTGGCTCCTGCTGGTGGTCGAGGGACTTTGCCATCGTCGAGTGCGTGTGTTCGCCCAACTACTACGGCCCCGCCTGCCAATACCGTAAACCACTTCTTCTACGCCCCCCCCCCGAAGCCTGTTTGGATTTCTAGGGTTGCGATTTTCTGTCATGATGAAGACAAACTGACGCCACAGGGGGGGAGGCGGGCAGGCTATCCGGACGATGAGCCCATCCTGGCCGGCATTGCGCCGATGGGCGCCGATTTTTCGCTCAACGCCATCCAGCCGACCGTGATCGCCGTCTCGGGTCGCATCTGGGCCGCCGATGTGCCCGACACGACCGTCAAGTCCGAGAACTGCGTCATCTCTCGAGCCAAGACTTCCCTCGAGTACTCACTCACTCACTCACTCACTCACTCACTCACTCCCCCATTTCATCCATTCATCATCAATGCGCCTCAAGCTATTTTTCATTCAATATCAAGTTTCCATTACAATCCATTCCAGCTGCTGACGGACACGTGAACGATGTCGATGACGTCATCAGGCTGAACGTGGAGGACAACACGATCGGCGACGGTGCGCTCGCGGTCGAGGTGTGGCGAGGCCCGGTGACGCCCTACGACCGCCGAGCCATCGCGCAGGCCGACTCGCTCCAGATCAGCGGCCTGTGCATCATCCCGAAGGGCGTGCTGGCCTTTGCCGAGGAGAACGACGACACGCTCACGAGCCAGCTCACGGTGTCGATCGAGTGGGCGCGCAAGTTCAGCAACGACACGCGTGAGTCGCGCGACCGGCTCACCTTCCAGCTCTACGGCCCGCTCCACCTGCCCAGCTCGATCGTGGCGGCCAAGGCCAACGAGGCCGACGGCGAGATGCGCGTGTTGCGCGAGCAGAGCGTGCGCGTGAGCTTCTGCGACGCGCAGGGCCGGCCGCGCCTGGGCGGCGACGACTCGGACGGGTTCGACCTGGCCTTTGTCGACGGGCCGGCGCTGCAGCCGCAGCTGGGCATCCGCGGCGGCGTGGCGCGGTCGTTCTCCTACAGCGACTGCCTGGTCAACTCGCGCAACCCCGAGTGCGCCTACTTCGAGTACAAGCTCTCGTTCGACCTGGCCGGCACCTACCGCGCCCACGTGCTCTACTTCCAGCCCACGGCGCTGGTCTTCGTGGGCAGCCAGCTGGAGCTCGAGGTCAAGGGCCTGGGCGAGGTCACGGTGCCTGTGCCCGAGTTGCCCGAGTCGAGTATCTCGTGGGCCGACCACCTGACCAACCGCGACACTCTCGCTTCCTTTGACACTGCCCTCGCCCAAACCGTACCAGTCGCCATCGCCCATTCCTTCCTTGTTGGCTTTATTGGGTCTCACCCAACCAATCCAATCTCTGACGAACTAGATTTCGCCGAATACGGGAGCGGCCGACCGGCTGAATGTGCTGGACACGCTGTTGGATGGCCTCCAAGGCCGCTGGTTCATGGAGCGCGAGACCGTGAGCTTGGCCTTTGAGGCAGGTCTGTCGCGCGTGGACATGGGCTCCGTGCACGTCGTCCGCCCTCAGGGTTTCGCCGCGGAGCCCTTCTTCTGCGACTCACACACCGACGAGCTCGATCCTGGTACGTTACGCGCCGCACGCACACGCACGCACACGTACACGCACCACCGCACACGCACCACCTCACACAAAACACGATGGTTTCCACATGTGAAACTTGAAGGCAACTAATTTATGCGTGTGTGCACGGCGCAGGGCGAGTGGAACGATTGTTGAAGCCTTGGCACAACCTGGGCAACGTGCCCAACAATTTCGTGCTCTCGCGCATGGTCCTCTCGCCGGTGGACTGCCTGGCTTCCATCTCCGTCAAGGTGGCCGTCGTGCACAGTCTGCCCAGGCTGGTCCAGATCAGCCTGACGCGGACCGGACCGGCCAGCAACGACCCGCGCGCCAAGAACCACACCTCGACCGTCGTCATCAAGCCCTTTGGCGGTACCATCCATACCCCGCCGCACCATGCTTTGCATTCCTTGCATTCATCACTCGCAGGGCGCGAGCAGCCAAGACGTTGAAGAGCGGCATTCTGACGGAGTGGACGGGCGAGACGGTGCCCGAGCTGGCGGCCAACTTCGTGGGCCGGCCGGCGCTGGCCGAGTGGGTGCTCTCCGTGGAGCAGGCGGACGGCACCGGCTACGTGCGGGACTGGTGGCTCGACGTCACCACCCGCAGCTGCCTCGAGACTCCCCGTACCCACCCGCCCTTTCATTCTCCTCACCTTTTCCTTCTCCTCCTCCTCACACGACGCACACAACACACAACACACAACACACAACACACAACACACAACACACAACACACACAACACGCAACACGCAACACGCAACACAGAGGAGATTTGCGGGTTTGGCGGCGGAGAGATGTATGGGCGTGCCGACAACGTCAACGACACGGTGCGCCTGGAGTGCCCGGCCGGAGGTATGATCTCCGACATCGTGTTGGCGCGCTATGGCCGCATCGAGGGCTACTGCGAAGGCGATCTCAAGAACATCGTCGTGCACGGCGACTGCGAGGCCGACGCCGAGAAGGTCAAGCAACGCGTGGCGGCGTTGTGCGTGGGCGGCGCCTCGTGCGAGCTCACGGCCACGGACATCGGCGTGCTGGGCGAGGAGTACCTGTGCGGCGACGAACAGCCCCAGTGCCTCGACGGCGACGACATCACCCGGCGGCGCCAGCGGCAGCCGCATGAAACGAAGGCCGCCGGCGGGGAACACGAGCACGACTACGCGCGGCCGCGGCCGTACCCGGGCACGGAGGACTACCACCTGCGCGCCACCACGGTGCGCCAGGCCACGGCGCCCTTCTTCCGGCCACGCTCCCCCGCGGCCCGGCAAGCCGAGAGTGCACCCGGTCCCGCATCGGCTGCCGCTGACGTGGTCGATCCCTGCGAGGTCACGCCAACGCTGGCCCCGAGGCGAGCGCTCATGGTCAAGGCCCGCTGCACCGGTGCGTCCGCAGAATCAAAACACAACAAATGCAAAAAGAACCTTAGTCTCAACAGAATCAATCTACGTACATACATGCAGATGCCAAGGTGGCGGCTAAGTTCGAGGACCCGGAGCCGAGCGAAAAGAAGATGCTCGTGGCGAGCGTGACCGCCGACTTGGACAACGACTGGAAGGACGAGACCATCACCATGTTCGCCTACGAGGGCGGACCCCTCCACGTGGCCTTCACGTTCGTCGGCCACAACGCCTTCCAGCCCACAACCTCCGTCGTACGTTCACCCCCCCCCGCCAGTTCATCTGATTACTTTTCGTCGTGTTTGTCTTCTATTGGTGACCTGGAGAGCGGGCGGGCTTTGTACGACGTCAGGTGCGTAACTTGGTGGTGGGTCCAGGTGGTGTGCCGGCCGTGGTGGGCGGCCAGCTCGAGCTGCAGGCGGGCGACTTCAACAACGACGGCTACCCCGAGCTCGTCGTGGGTTATCTCGACGTGGACGGCCAACTGCAGCTTTTCCAGTGGGACCTGCGCATCGAGGACACCAGCGTGTGGCCCGCGGGCGTGGTCAAGCCCAACCGGGCCGACTTGGCGCCGTGCGGGTGCTTTGACAGCGAGTCTGCGCTGCGGCGGCTTTTCGCCATGGCGACGCGCATCAGCGTGCCGGGCTCGCCCACCTATGATATGAAATCGTCAAGTGAAACCCGGTTGGACTCGCCCGGCTTCTCCTACGCGCTCGCCGTCGGTGACGTTGGCCTTGGCTTCGACGTCGTACGCACTCTCTTTCCCTCCAGTTTTTTTGTCTTCATTTTTATTTTGTGCAGTCCCACAGACCGCAGGACCGACGGTGTGTTGTGTGTGTCGTGTGTCATGTGTGTCGTGTCATGTGTGGGGCAACACGGGGGTGCAGCTGGTCCTGTCGTGGATCGCAGACGAGCACACGGTGGTATGGGGCGTGTTCCGACAGACGGGCTCCGGGCTGGCCCTGGCGGGCGATGTGATGACCCTGCGGGACGTCGACCAGGCCCACGCGGTGAGCCTCGCGCTGGGCGACTTCGAGGGCACCGGCTCGCGCGAGCTGGCCCTGGGCATCGTGGACTGGAACACCATCTCGGTCTACTTCTACACCATCGACCAGACGGTGAGCTCCTTCCCGATGACCATGGCCAAGCTGCTCAACGTCGCCGAGGACTCGTGGATGCTCAACTCCAACATCAAGTACGTCATTTTCATTTTCCGTCCCCATCGCATGCAATTTTCACCAAGGGTCACACCACCACCACTCTGAATCTACGTCGCAGCTTGCGGCTGGTGGCGGGTGATCTCAACGACGACCTCGACGACGAGCTCGTGGTGGGCTTCACGCTGGGCGCCGAGGCCTACCTCTTCCAGGTCGATGCCCTCACGTGCGGCCAGGCCAAGTGCATGGAGCTCGTGGGCTCCTCGGGCTACGCGGTGCCCACCGGGCGAGTGCCCACCACGACCACCACCCGCAGTCCCGAGCTGAAGCTCGCCATCGGTGCCGATAGACCAACTCCTTTTTATAGGATGTTATGTTATGTAATTAATCTTCTTTTTCCCTTTGTTGCACCACCCACCAGGCAACGTGGACGAGAGCAGCACCAACGAGCTGGTCGTGGCGGTCGAGTACACGTCGACGACCGACCAGTCGGTGCACAAGGTCATGCTGGTGAGCCTCACGGCCCAGTCCGACTCCAACCAGCCCTTCCTCATCAACGGTTCGTGTGTTAAGCGTGCGTGTGTGTGGCGTGTGTCGTGTGCGATGATTTGGCTCACGACGATGGCGGGGCAACAGGGCGGCACTGCTACGCGGGGCCGGCGTACCGCGAGAGCGAGGACGAGCAGGAGGTGACGGTCAACAACATGGCCCTGAGCGTGGGCAACCTGTACGGCCTGGGCTACCGCGTGGGCGAGCCCACGATGGTGCGGTTCGAGAGCGTGCCGGAGCTGCTCGCCGTGATCAACGCGCCGCCCACGCACTACGACGTGCTCGAGGGCGAGGAGATCGTTGTCAACCAGCGCACGATGAATGGCCAGGGGTCCTTCACCAAGCTCACCAACGTGGAGGGCGTCACGTCGTCCTTCGAGATCACGCGCGACACCGTAGCCATTGAAAGCACCGCCTCGGGCGTACGTCTTCCCTAGTTGGTTGGGTGGGTGCTGGGTAATTTTATTCACAATTCCACGCATCTCACACCCGCCACAGAACGCGCTGGATGGCAAGTTGGCTGTAGTGGTGGGCAAGCTGCACCAGAGTGCGTCGGCGCTCAAGAAGAAGACCCAGGTCGACAGCCAGGGCGTGCTGGAGCGCCTCACAGTGTCGCGCGAGCTGACGGCGTCGGGCGACGACGTGGTGCTCTACATCTCGACCACGCGCGACCAGTGGAAGTTCCCCATCGTCGACCAGACCGGGGCGCCGGTCGGGGCGCTCGACGTGTGGCTGTCGTCGAGCTGCGGCGTCGAATGCGTGCAGGTGGCCGACGGGCGCGACCTGTGGTGGTTCGCGCCCGATCACGAGCCCTTCAACGTGCTCACCTACTCATCGCGCTCACCGACCGACTTTGTGCCGTCGAACCGCGTCATGGTGGGCGACCGCGTCACGCTCGGCCCCAACGATCACCTCCAGTTCGTGGGCGAGAGCTCGGGCCGCTCGCAGAACAAGGTCACGCTAGACCACCAGACGTCGACGCGCGACCGCGCCACGGCGGTGGGGATCGACGTCAACTACGAGTTCATGTTCTCGCAGGCCTTCCTGGGCCTGGGTCCCAACCACAAGCTGCCGCTCGGGATCAGCGTCTGGGATCCTGGAACTCGAGGAGGCCATTCTCCGGACCGCAGCCGCGCAGATCGGCAGTGAGCAGGCGGCGCGCAGCGGCCAGCCAGCCGAATCCCCAGCTCTCGAGGGTGGCCAGGCCGCGCGAGAAAGGTTGGTCGTAGATGTCGAACCAGGTGTCTCTGTACACACGACACACACACGATACACACACGACCAGGGTCGCACACACCACCACCACCACCACCACCACCACCACCACCACCCACGACACCACGACCACCAGCCACCACCAGCCACCAGCAGCAGCAGCAGCCACCACCACCACGTCACTCAGCTCTCAGGATATACCGCTGCCGCTCGGGATCAGCGTCAACGCCATGGAGAGCGAGGACCACGAGACGGCCGACGAGGAAGCCACGTCGCGCAAGGCCAGCGCGGCGATCGAGCGCGACGTGTCGGTGCAGGCCTACCTGGAGCCCATCAACCCCGAGTTCGCCTACCGCGTGCAGCCGTTCGTGTGGCTGGCGCGCACGGCCGACGGGCACGAGTACCTCAAGGTGGAGTACACGGCCGAGCCGGGCTACCACCCGGGCGTGGCCACCTGGTGGCAGCGCACCTACAACCGGCCGGACCCGGCCTTCAACCTGCCCTGGTGGTGGGCGGCGACCTACAAGCGCGACCGCACGATGCTCACCAAGGAGCTGGTGGCCACGCCGCAGTTCCCCACCGTGGGCGAGCTGGTGCACGTGACGGCGACGGTGCGCAACAAGGCCCTGGTGTCGGCGGCGCAAGTGGACGTGTCGTTCTGGCGCGGCAACCCCGACAACTGCTTTGACCTCGAGTGCCTCACCATCGGCCACACCCTCAGTACCCCGCCCTTCCTCTCGACTTCTCTTTTCTCTTTTCTTTTCTTTGTTTCTCATCACGCACACACGACACGACACGACACACACCGCACACACGACACGACACGACACGACACGACAGTTGGGTCGGCGACAATCGACTTCATTCCGGCGCAGGGCAAGCGCGAGGTGTCGTTCCTGATGCGGTACGGCGGGGTGCAGAACATCCACGTGACGCTGGACGACAACGAGCAGCTCGACGAGATGCACGAGGACAACAACCACGCCTACGCGCTCCTGTTCCACAACGTGCGCGAGGGCGGCTACACGCTGCAGACTCTGCGCCTCGGGCGCACCGACGCGGCGCAAGCGGTCATCGACGTGAGGCCGCGCACGAACGCCGATGGCAGCTTCGCCGGCGGCTACACGGTGAGCGCCACCGTGCTGGGCGACACCTTCACGCGGCAGAACCTGGTGGCCCAGTTCTGGCACGGGGCCGTCGGCGGCGGCGGGCGCCTCATCGCCACCGTCGCGGTGCCGCTGCTCGAGGGCTCGGTCGAGTCGACCAGCACCTACGGCCTCAGCGCCTACTGGCACACGGCCAGCCCGGACCTGCACGCGCACGAGCAGGAGCTGCACGCGGTGCTGCTCCACTCGGGCTTCGACCCGACGCCGGCCAACGTCATCTCGCACGTGTCGCGGCGCGTGTCGGTGGCGTGCTACGGCGAGATCGACCTGTGCGGCGTGTGCGGCGGGTTCAACCGCTCGTGCGCCGGGTGCGACGGCGAGGCCCATTCGGGCGTCGTGGTGGACGCGTGCGGCGTGTGCGGCGGCGACAACTCGACCTGCTGCGTGCCGCGGCCCGGCCAGGCCAAGCTCCACCGCGTGCGGCTGACCTCCGACGTGCTCGCCGGCGCCGGCGGCGACGATGACCAGTTGATCAAGCGCGTGCAGGTGGGCGAGCTGGTGGTGTGGGAGAACCTGCTCGACTGGGACGTCGAGATTGTGGCCGGCCTGCAGGACTTGGGATCATACGACCACCTGGCGGCGGCCTTCAACCTGTCGGCCCTGCGCGACCACGACCAGTCCATCCCTCTCCAGCTACCCCTCGCCGCCCAAGACTTATCTCAGTTCATTCAGGTGCGCCCCCCTCCCTCGTCGCTCACTTTTTCTTTCTCTCTTTTCTGTGTGGTTTGTATTTATTTGGTCTTTATTCGCTAAACAATTTACATATTTGATAAATACAGAATTATGTTTCGATGCTGGCGGTGAAGGACCACGTGGACAGCGCGCCCAGCGATGACGAGATCCCAATCCCGCAGCCGGACTCCACGACCCAGTACCTCCGCCGCCGATCGGCCACCGCCGGGCCTTCAGATGCCGCCTGGTTCGGCCACCCCATGCCGTCTGTGCCATAGCGCGACTCAGTGAGCTCACCGTGTCGTTGTGTCGTGTCGGGAACGAAATCGGTGGTTCGGGGCGGCCTGCAGGCGCATCACAACAGTGGACGGTTTCGTGCGGGTTGCGCGCGTACCCAGGACCGATGACGACGGAGAAGAAGAGGGCGAGGAGCGGCCAGCCGAGTTCGCCATGGCCGGGGTCTGCTGCGCCCCCGACGGGGAGGAGGAGGAGGAAGAGGAGGAGGCCGCCGCCGCCGCAGCCCAAGGCCGCCAGGGCGGCCGACCGCTGCGGTCAGTGGTGCTGTCCATGCTCAAGGAGCACAGGCGCCGAATCGACCGCCTGCGCGCGTTCGCTAACTCGACCACCGCCAACAACCACAACCTCGAGCCGGTCCAGCAACAGGCGAGGGACGCGCTTCGCACCGTGGCCGCCGACTCCGCGTTCTACGACCCGGAAGTCCGGGAGACGAGCGCGTGGGACCTCGGCGGCGGCGGCGCCGAGACGGCGGCGATGGCGCGGCAGATCCGCTGCCTCTGCCCGAACCGGGGCGGCTCGAGGCGCGTCAAGCGCATCGGCGAAGACCCCGCGGTGATCGGCATCGGCCCGAAGGGTCCGGCGCGCGTGGGTCCCGCGCTGGGCGTAGGCCCTGGTGCGGCGCGCGGGGGTCCTCCCAGGTCCATGGGCATCGGCACTCAGCACGCCATCAAGGCCGAGCTCGGCCTGCTCGACACGGGCAAGAAATCGATGGAGAAGATGCTGTCCGATACGGTGTCGGTAAACAACGCGCTGGCGATCATCGACCAGGCGCCGACGCTCATCGACCAGGCGCCAATGCTGGTCGACGCTTCCACGGGCCTGATCGCTGCGGCCGGCGACATGGTCACGACCATCGCGTCCGACCCGTTGACGCTCATCACCATGATCGACCCCGTAACGCTCATCGCCGCGCCGGCCATGATACCACTCAGCATGCTCGACAGGGAGCTTTCGAAATGGCAGGCGAGCGCGGAGGGCAACTCCCTGCAGTACGCGGGGGCCACCACCGGGCGGGTCTTTGTGGGCGTGCTGCGCGTCGGCATCCCGCTGGCCCTCACCTTGGCACCCTTGGCCTTTGGCGTACCCGTGCCCCCCACGGCCTTAGTGTCCGTCATCGCGCCCATCGTCAAGCAGGGCGTCCAGCTCGCCGACACGGCCGCCGGCCACTACGGGGTCCCCACGCTCACCGATCGAATGAACGGAGCGGTGGGCAACCTGATGGACGGTGCCTCCGGAGTGGGGCGCAGCGGAGTGGGGCTCCTGATGGACGGTGCCTCCGCCGTGACTGGAGCGGGGCGCGGCGGAGTGGGGCTCCTGATGGATGGTGCCGCTTCCGTGAGCCAAGCCCTGGTGCCCCGCAGCCAGCGCGGCAACGGAACAACAGCCTACAACCACCACTACGACGACGACGACGACGATGGCTACTATGGCCACGACCACGAGAGGCACGTCAGCAAGCGCGCGGGAGGCACGAATGCAGCGCTGAAGCAGGCGCTGGTCGACCTCTACGGCCGGTTCGACTTTGAACAAGTCGCGAGCAGACCGGACGGGCCGTCGGCGCTGGCGCCGGGCGGCGCGAGCATGCCGCACCGGTTCTTCACGCCGGGCGTCTACCTGTGGCACGACGCGCGCCACCCGGCCGTACACGGCGCGATCGTGGTGGAGCCCTCGAGCTACGCGCCGGACGCGTGCGGCGTGTGCGGCGGCGACGGCTCAGCGTGCTACGTGGACTGCGCCGGAGTGGCGGGCGGCCTGGCGACGCTCGACAACTGCAGCAACTGCACGGGTGGCACTACCGGCCTCGAACCCAACTTCTTCATGAACGCGTGCGGCGTGTGCGGCGGCGGTGGCGGCAGTGATGAAGAGGGCAACTGCACCGACGTCCAGGTTCATTTTCCTCTCACTTTTTTTTTTCATTCGTTTTCTCTTCTTTTTTCTCATGGAAGACTCTCTCTCGATCTTACTCCTCCCACACTCAGAGACGCAGCGAATTTGACCACACGGCTGCGGCGCCCGCGGTTATGCTCCCGTGCGCCGCGACCGAGGTGCGGGACGAACGCGGCGCGTGCTGTGCGCCGTCCGAGCTCGACTGCGCGGGCGTATGCGGCGGCAAGGCGGTGGTGGACGAGTGCGACCAGTGCGTGCTGGGATCCACGGGCCGCGAGTTCAACGCCGCCAAGGACTGCGCCGGCCAGTGCTTCGGCAATCGTTCCGCCTCTGATCCGTACGCGTTGCTCGGCAAGCGGGAATCGTGTGTGTCGTGCTGACTCACAGTGTGTTGTGTGTTGTGTGTTGTGCAGGGCGTGCACGTGTGCGCCTGGCGAGCTCGACGCGTGCTTCGTGTGCGGTGGCGACAACTCGTCGTGCACCGGGTGCGACGGCGTGCTCCACTCGGGCGCCGCCCGCGATCTCTGCGGCGTGTGCGGCGGCGACGGCTCGACCTGCTGCCGCCTGCCCTTCGCCCAGGTGTCCGTGGTGGTCCGCGGCTTCGAGCCCCTGGCGCCGCACCGCACGCTCGACGCCGGCGAGACCCTGGCCGTGACCAACCTCCACGCCGGCTACACCTACACGTTCGTGCTCGTGCGCTACACCGACCACGACGAGGCGGCTATAGATAGCTGGCGTGAGCTGGCACCGCTGCCGCCGGCCCGCACGCTGCGCACCGTGCTCACCCAGCCGGGCGAGTACCTGCTCACCGCGCGGGAGAACACGCTGGCCACGGTGCGCCTCAGCGTGCGCTACAACGCCAAGAGGCGCGACGCCTGCGGCCACTGCGTCTACCCGCCGACGACGTCGACCGCCGACGGCGAAGACTACGACAACGACGACAAGCGGCGCCACCAGCTGGTGGCCTACGCCCAGTGCTGCGAGGTGATGGGGCCGGACGTGGACGTGCATGCCTGGTTTGAGAGCACGCACGTGGTCGACGCTGCCAACCCGACACGCACAGTGCGCATCGTCGAGCGCACGGGTCACTATCGCAGCGCGCCCACGCGCCATCTGCTGCGCCTCATCGCGTCGCAGACCATCGACGCCAGGACCTGGCGCACCAGCGGCGGCGGCGACCAGCAGCGGCTGGCGGTGGGCGACGTCATAGTGCTTGAGAACCGCGACCTGCTCGACCACATGATCACGATCTCGGGGCCGCAGCCACTGCCCGTCGTGGTGCTCGAGCGCGGCACGACCGTCGAGGTGGGTCCGCTGCTCACGCCGGGCACCTATCGGGTGGTGTCCAACCGCAACCTGGTCAACACCAGCTTCGCGGTCGAGTTCGCCTTTGCCTGCACGGTCCACGCGCCCGAGCAGCCCCAGCTGCTGCCCGCGCGCCAGAGCTCTCAGGCTGCGGCCACTACGGCGGCGACTACGGAGGACCGGATCCGCTTGATGGCGCTGATTGTGCTTCCTGTGGCGGGTGCCGTCGCGCTCGTGGCTCTGGTGGGCCTGGTGGCCTTCGTTCAGACCCGGCGGAAGGCGCAGCACAGCGCGTGCAACTTGGCATAGAACTAGCAGGTGCTCCAACAACAATATTGTATTGCCCACTTACTTACTTGGTCACCAACACCACATCACTCAGCGAACCGGCGAGCGCCTTTAGCGACACACTGCACGGGTCCACTGTCCACCGCGTCGTCCGCACGGCAGAACATCGGCGGATGCCGCTGCGGCAGCTGTGAGCGTGCGCCATCGTGAGTGAGCGAACAACACTCGTCAAAGTTGTCAGTTCTCTTGTTTATGCGTCAAATAATCGCTTTCAAGTAGAGGAATAATGTGATTGACCCACCCATGGGTTACACGCCAAAAGCTCAAAACTGAAGACAAGGAAATGATGCGTTATGTCCGTTTGAGATAGCAAAATTATAATTGATCAAATACACTTGCAGTGAGGAGGGAGCACTCACACGGAGACGGGCTGCTGCGCCATCCGCCGAGACTTGACGAAGGCCACCAGTCCCCACGCCAATCCCACGACCAACACGACCAGGCCTGCTGCGACCACCGATGGAAGCCCCAGCAGCGACGCACCACTTATCATGGTGGGCGACAGCTGCGCGGGCGCGGGCATCGGGGCGTGGACCACGCAGGCAAAGGCGAACTCGATCGTGAAGCTCGTGTTGACCAGGTTGCGGCCGACCGATATCACTTGGTAGGTGCCCGGCGTGAGCAGCGGCCCGACCACCACGCTCGTGCCCCGATCCAGCACCACGTCGGGCACCGGCTGCGGCCCATCAATCGAGATCACGTGGTCGAGCAGGTCGCGGTTCTCCATTACTATGACGTCGCCCACCGCCAGCCGCTGGCCAGCCGCAGCGTTCCAGTGGTCGGCGTCGATGGTCTGCGGGGCGACGAGGCGCAGGAGGTGGCGCGTGGGCGCGCTGCGGTAGTGGCCCGTGCGCTCGACGGTCGTGTGGGCCACAGTGGGGTCGACCGGGTCGACCAGGTGGGTGTTGGCGTACCAGGCGTGGACGTTGTCCGACCCCATAGCCTCGCAGCACCGCGTGTAGGCCACCAGCTCGCGCCGCCGCTGCGTCGCCTCGACCGATGAGTCCTCGGCGCCGACGTCGGCGTCGGCGTAGACGCAGTGATCGCAGGCGTCGCGCCGCTTGGAGTTGTAGCGCACGGTCAGCCGCACCGTGGCCAACGCACTCAGTGTGGTGGTGGTGGTGGTCGAGGTGGTGCTGGTGGTGGTGCTGGTCGAGGTGGAGTTGGGGTCGAGCGCGGTGAGCGCGTACTCGCCGGGGGCGGCGATCTCGATGTGCAGGGTGCGGCCGGGCTCGAGCGGGGCGAAGCGCTGCTCGATGGTGTGGTCGACGAGGCGCACGAGGACAAAGGTGTAGGCGCGACCGGCGTGGAGGTTGGTGAGGACGAGGGTCTCGCCGGCGTCCAGGGTGCGGTGCGGCGGGAGGGTCTCGAACCCGCGCACGATGACGTGGACCTGGGCAAAGGGCAGGAAGCAGCAGGCGGAGCTGTTGCCGCCGCACACGCCGCAGAGATCGCGCGTCAGGCCCGAGTGGAGCACGCCGTCGCACCCGCGGCACGACGAGTTGTCGCCACCGCACACAAAGCACGCGTCGAGCTCGCCCGGCGCACACGTGCACGACCTGCACACGCCATACGACACAGCGTCAGCCCGACACATGATACGACACGACACGTTACGACACGACACGACACGACACGCACTGTGTGGAGGGGGAGAAGGGGGCGTACGGATCGGAGGCGGAGCGTTTGCCGAAGCACTGGCCGGCGCAGTCCTTGTCAGCGTTGAACGCGCGTCCGGAGGTGCCCATCACGCACTGACCGCACTCGTCGACCACGGCCTCGCCGCCGCACACGCCCGCGCAGTCCATGTCTGAGTCAGGCACGTGACCGTCGCCCTCCACATAACACACGCCGCACGCGTCGAGCGTTGCATTTCCAAAGCACGTGCCCTGGCAGTCCCTGCTCATGTTGGCCCGATACTGGTTGACGACACGACACGCACCGCACACGACACGACACGACACGCACCGCACTGTGTAAGCGACCGAGCGCTGACCCGGGGGGGTTGAGGGAGTGACGAACCAGGGGCACGCGGGAGTAGCCGCCCACGCAGACGCCGCAGTTGTCGAGCACGGCCGAGCCGTTGCACGAGCCGGCGCAGTCGACCCAGTAGTCGGGGCCGGCCGCGAAGTGCTCTGGCAGGGCGCACACGCCGCACGGGTTGATGCGTGCGGTGCCGTTGCACGTGCCGGCGCAGTCGCGCACCGCGATCGGATCCACCCCCGACGCGCCCCCCACGCACACGTCGCAGTCCAGCGTGGCCGACCCGAAGCACATGCCGGCGCAGTCGAGCTCCTCCGCCGCGCAGCAGAGCCCGCGCGCGTCCACCACTCCCGCCGTGCATAGGCCTTCATCCTCCGTCACCATACGCTTTTGCGGCTGCGGAACCTGCAACACGACACGACACGACACGCATGAGTGTGTGACGACACAACACGACACACGACACACGACACACGACACACGTACATCGAAACCGGTGCTGCCGCCGATGCAGCGGAAGTCGGGTCCCAAGGTGGCGGTGCCGTTGCATGTGCCGGCGCAGTCGTAGGTCGCCGGGCCGCCGCACACGCCGAAGCAGTCCGCGCCGGTCGTGGTGGGCAGGTCCAACGTGCCCCCGACGCAGTAGCCGCAGCGGTTGACGTAGGCCTGGCCGAAGCAGTCGCCCGCACAGTCGCGGTCCGCGTCGATCGGGATGTTGGTGATGCCGCCCGCGCACACACCGCAGCTGTCGGTGACCGCCGTGCCGAAGCACACGCCGTAGCAGTCCTTGCGCTTGAGTACAACGGGCACGCCGCTCGTGCCGCCCTCGCACACGTCGCAGTCGCCGACGCGGGCGTCGCCAAAGCACGCCCCGGCGCAGTCCTTGGCCGCTCCGGGCGCGCGGCCGGTGGTGCCGCCCGCGCACTGGCCGCACTCGTCCAGCGCGGCCGCGCCGTTCTCCACCCCCGCGCAGTCTTTGCAGCCCGAGCCGTCGCCGCCGCACACGCCGCACGCGTCCGGCGCGTAGCTCGAGGGCTCCACCACGATCGCGCCGTGTACGGCCGGGTGGCGCGCGTCGTGCCACAGGTAGACGCCCGGCGTGAAGAACCGATGCGGCATGCTCGCGCCGCCCGGCGCCAGCACCGACGCGTTGCCCTCCGATCGGCCGGCGAGGTCAGAGTAGGCGAACCGGCCGTAGAGGTCGTTGAGGGAGCCCAGGCTGGTGCGGCGCTGGCGGGTGGTGGTAGGCGGGCAGAGGCAGCGGATGGGCAGCCTGGGCGTGCCCGGGGCGGGGTCGACGAAAAAGGTCGACGCCGTGGCCTCCGAGCGGAGCCGGGTGATTGCCTGCATGTGCGTGTGTGTGCGCAAGTGGTGAGACACACTCCGTACACTCCGCACACGACATACACGACACGACACACGACACGACACACGACACGGGGGTACCTGATCGATGCCCGGATTGAGGATGCCGGTGGCGTTGACGACGGAGCGCAGGCGGGCGAGCTTGCGCTTGTGGTCCTTGAGCATGGACAGCACCTGCGACCGCAGTGACCGTCCAGCTGTTGGCTCGTGGTGGTGGTCGTCGTCGTGGATGTCGGCGTCGTCCATGTCACGCGCCTCGTGCCACTCGTCGTCGGCCGGGGCGCAGCAGACGTCTCTCATCGCAAACTCGCGCACCTCGTCGCCGTCGAAATCGAACTCGAAATTATTGTAATCTTCGGCAAATAGATCGTCGGTGGTCTCGGCCTCGCGCTTGACCGGCGCGACCGGCACGAAGTCACTGGCACTCGTGATGCGCCTGGTCACCCACCCATCCGCCAAAAAAGTTACTTGTATCGTGTCGTGTCGTTGGTCGTGTCGTTGGTCGTGTCTCATACCAGCGGGCCGAAGCCGTGCCAGGGCGCTGGCGGAGGTACTTGGTAGTGGAGTCAGGCTGCGGGATCTTGATCTCGTCATCACTGGGCGCGCTGTCCACGTGGTCCTTCACCGCCAGCATCGAAACATATTTCTGTATTTATCAAATATGTAAATTGTTTAGCGAATAAAGACCAAATAAATACAAACCACACAGAAAAGAGAGAAAGAACAAGTGAGCGACGAGGGAGGGGGGCGCACCTGAATGAACTGAGATAAGTCTTGGGCGGCGAGGGGTAGCTGGAGAGGGATGGACTGGTCGTGGTCGCGCAGGGCCGACAGGTTGAAGGCCGCCGCCAGGTGGTCGTACGACCCCAAGTCCTGCAGGCCGGCCACGATCTCGACGTCCCAGTCGAGCAGGTTCTCCCACACCACCAGCTCGCCCACCTGCACGCGCTTCACCAACGGGTCGTCGCCGGCGCCGGCGCCGGCGAGCGCGTCGGAGGTCAGCCGCACGCGGTGGAGCTTGGCCTGGCCGGGCCGCGGCACGCAGCAGGTCGAGTTGTCGCCGCCGCACACACCGCACGCGTCCACCACGACGCCCGAGTGGGGCTCGCCGTCGCACCCGGCGCACGAGCGGTTGAACCCGCCGCACACGCCGCACAGGTCGATCTCGCCGTAGCACGCCACCGACACGCGCCGCGACACGTGCGAGATGATGTTGGCCGGCGTCGGGTCGAAGCCCGAGTGGAGCAGCACCGCGTGCAGCTCCTGCTCGTGCCCGTGCAGGTCCGGACTGGCCGTGTGCCAGTAGGCGCTGAGGCCGTAGGTGCTGGTCGACGCGACCGAGCCCTCGAGCAGCGGCACCGCGACGGTGGCGATGAGGCGCCCGCCGCCGCCGACGGCCCCGTGCCAGAACTGGGCCACCAGGTTCTGCCGCGTGAAGGTGTCGCCCAGCACGGTGGCGCTCACCGTGTAGCCGCCGGCGAAGCTGCCATCGGCGTTCGTGCGCGGCCTCACGTCGATGAGCGCTTGCGCCGCGTCGGTGCGCCCGAGGCGCAGGGTCTGCAGCGTGTAGCCGCCCTCGCGCACGTTGTGGAACAGGAGCGCATAGGCGTGGTTGTTGTCCTCGTGCATCTCGTCGAGCTGCTCGTTGTCGTCCAGCGTCACGTGGATGTTCTGCACCCCGTCGTACCGCATCAGGAACGACACCTCGCGCTTGCCCTGCGCCGGAATGAAGTCGATCGTCGCCGACCCAACTGTCGTGTCATGTGTGCCGTGTCGTGTCGTGTGTGCGGTGTGTGTCGTGCCGTGTCGTGTGTGCGTGATGAGAAACAAAGAAAAGAAAAGAGAAGTAGAGAAGTAGAGAGGAAGGGCGGGGTACTGAGGGTGTGGCCGATGGTGAGGCACTCGAGGTCAAAGCAGTTGTCGGGGTTGCCGCGCCAGAACGACACGTCCACTTGCGCCGCCGACACCAGGGCCTTGTTGCGCACCGTCGCCGTCACGTGCACCAGCTCGCCCACGGTGGGGAACTGCGGCGTGGCCACCAGCTCCTTGGTGAGCATCGTGCGGTCGCGCTTGTAGGTCGCCGCCCACCACCAGGGCAGGTTGAAGGCCGGGTCCGGCCGGTTGTAGGTGCGCTGCCACCAGGTGGCCACGCCCGGGTGGTAGCCCGGCTCGGCCGTGTACTCCACCTTGAGGTACTCGTGCCCGTCGGCCGTGCGCGCCAGCCACACGAACGGCTGCACGCGGTAGGCGAACTCGGGGTTGATGGGCTCCAGGTAGGCCTGCACCGACACGTCGCGCTCGATCGCCGCGCTGGCCTTGCGCGACGTGGCCTCCTCGTCGGCCGTCTCGTGGTCCTCGCTCTCCATGGCGTTGACGCTGATCCCGAGCGGCAGCTTGTGGTTGGGACCCAGGCCCAGGAAGGCCTGCGAGAACATGAACTCGTAGTTGACGTCGATCCCCACCGCCGTGGCGCGGTTGCGCGTCGACGTCTGGTGGTCAAGCGTGGCCTTGCTCTGCGAGCGGCCCGAGTGCTGGCCCACGACCTGGGTGTGATCGTTGGGGCCGAGCGTGACGCGGTCGCCCACCATGACGCGGTTCGACGGCACAAAGTCGGTCGGCGAGCGCGATGAGTAGGTGAGCACGTTGAAGGGCTCGTGATCGGGCGCAAACCACCACAGGTCGCGCCCGTCGGCCACCTGCACGCATTCGACGCCGCAGCTCGACGACAGCCACACGTCGAGCGCCCCGACCGGCGCCCCGGTCTGGTCGACGATGGGGAACTTCCACTGGTCGCGCGTGGTCGAGATGTAGAGCACCGCGTCGTCGCCCGACGCCGTCAGCTCGCGCGACACTGTGAGGCGCTCCATCACGTCACGCCCGTCGGCCACGGCATTCTTCTTGAGCGCCGACGCACTCTGGTGCAGCTTGCCCACCACTACAGCCAACTTGCCGTCCAGCGCGTTCTGTGCGGTGGGGCGTGTGCCGTGTAGGTCGTGTTAAAACGCGAACTACAACCATAATAGAGGAGGGACGATGTACGCCCGAGGCGGTGCTTTCAATGGCTACGGTGTCGCGCGTGATCTCGAAGGACGACGTGACGCCGTCCGCGTTTGTGAGCTTGGTGAAGGACCCGTAGCCCCGCAGGGTGCGCTGGTTAACGGCGATCTCCTCGCCCTCGAGCACGTCGTAGTGCGTGGGCGGCGCGTTGATCACGGCGAGCAGCTCCGGCACGCTCTCGAACCGCACCATCGTGGGCTCGCCCACGCGGTAGCCCAGGCCGTACAGGTTGCCCACGCTCAGGGCCATGTTGTTGACCGTCACCTCCTGCTCGTCCTCGCTCTCGCGGTACGCCGGCCCCGCATAGCAGTGCCGCCCTGTTGCCCCGCCATCGTCGTGAGCCAAATCATCGCACACGACACACGCGACACACACGCACGCTTAACACACGAACCGTTGATGAGGAAGGGCTGGTTGGAGTCGGACTGGGCCGTGAGGCTCACCAGCATGACCTTGTGCACCGACTGGTCGGTCGTCGACGTGTACTCGACTGCCACGACCAGCTCGTTGGTGCTGCTCTCGTCCACGTTGCCTGGTGGGTGGTGCAAAAAATAAAGTAAAATAAAAGAGTGCAGAATGTTAAAATAAAAAGCAAACACAAAGCCAAAAAAAAAGAAAAAAAGAATGCGTACCGATGGCGAGCTTCAGCTCGGGACTGCGGGTGGTGGTCGTGGTGGGCACTCGCCCAGTGGGCACCGCGTAGCCCGAGGAGCCCACGAGCTCCATGCACTTGGCCTGGCCGCACGTGAGGGCATCGACCTGGAAGAGGTAGGCCTCGGCGCCCAGCGTGAAGCCCACCACGAGCTCGTCGTCGAGGTCGTCGTTGAGATCACCCGCCACCAGCCGCAAGCTGCATAAGCATTGTGTTGTCGTGTCGTTTGTCGTTTGTCGTTTGTGGTGTCAATAACCCATGAGTGGCAGGCGACGGGGGAGGCGACGTACTTGACGTTGGAGTTGAGCATCCACGAGTCCTCGGCGACGTTGAGCAGCTTGGCCATGGTCATCGGGAAGGAGCTCACCGTCTGGTCGATGGTGTAGAAGTAGACCGAGATGGTGTTCCAGTCCACGATGCCCAGGGCCAGCTCGCGCGAGCCGGTGCCCTCGAAGTCGCCCAGCGCGAGGCTCACCGCGTGGGCCTGGTCGACGTCCCGCAGGGTCATCACATCGCCCGCCAGGGCCAGCCCGGAGCCCGTCTGTTGGAACACGCCCCATACCACCGTGTGCTCGCCTGCGATCCACGACGCCACCAGCTGCACCCCCGTATTTCCCGACGGAACGCGTTAACAAAATAGTCCTCCTCATCATCATCACCATCATCACCATCATCACCATCATCACCATCATCACCATCATCACCATCATCACCATCATCACCATCATCACCACCGTCATCACCATCATCATCACCACCATCATCATCATCATCATCATCATCATCATCATCATCATCATCATCATCATCATCATCATCATCATCATCATCATCATCAGGGTGGCGTACGACGTCGAAGCCGAGGCCGATGTCGCCAACGGCGAGCGCGTAGGAGAAGCCGGGCGAGTCCACGCGCGTCGAGCTCGCGGTCGGCGGCGCGGTAAGGTCGTAGGTGGGCGCGTCCGGCACGGTGATGGATATGGCCAGGGCGAAGAGGTGCCGCAGCACGGACTCACTGTCGAAGCAGCCGCACGGCGACAGATCGGCCCGGTTGGGCTTGACCATGCCGGCGGGCCACACGCTGGTGTCCTCGATGCGCAGGTCCCACTGGAAGAGCCGCAGCTGGCCGGACTTGTGGTCGATGTAGCCCAGGATGAGCTCCGGGTAGCCGTCGTTGTTGAAGTCGCCCACCTGCAGCTCGAGCTGGGCGCCCACCACGGCCGGTACACCACCTTGGCCCACCACCAAGTTACGCACCTGCATCCATTGCGTACGAGGAAAAAAGAAATGAATTATTAAATAAATAATCATAATCATAATAAATAATTAACGTACGACGAAGGTAGCGGGCTGGAAGGCATTGCTGCCGACGTAGGTGAAGGCCACGTGGAGGGGTCCGCCTTCGTAGGCGAACATGGTGATGGTCTCGTCCTTCCAGTCGTTGTCCAAGTCGGCGGTCACGCTCGCCATGAGCATCTTCTTCTCGCTCGGCTCCGGGTCCTCGAACTTAGCCAACGCCTTGCTATCTGCATAGTGGCATCCATGTGTAGCGTACTTAGAACAATGTAATAATTTTTTAACAAAGCTCCGTTTTTGTTTTATTTCCGTGTTTCGTTTCGTTTCGTTTCGTTTCGTGTGGGGAGGAGCAGACGCACCGCTACAGCGGGCCTTGACCATGAGCGCTCGCTTGGGGGGCGGCGTCGGCGCTACGTTGTCGTTCTCGCACGGATCGACCACGTCGGGCTCCACCGCGTTCACAGGAGTGACAGCATCCGTAGTAGTCCATGGATTCCACGCGCCCCACACCGCCTTGCGGGCGCCCGGGCGCTGTCGGAAGAAGGGCGCCGTGGCATGGCGCACCGTGGTGGCGCGCAGGTGGTAGTCCTCCGTGCCCGGGTACGGCCGCGGCCGCGCGTAGTCGTGCTCGTGTTCCCCGCCGGCGACCTTCTTCTCATGCGGCTGCCGCTGGCGCCGCCGGGTGACGTCGTCGCCGTCGAGGCACTGGGGCTGTTCGTCGGCACACAGGTACTCCTCGCCCAGCACGCCGATGTCCGTCGCCGTGAGCTCGCACGAGGCGCCGCCCACGCACAACGCCGCCACGCGTTGCTTGACCTTCTCGGCGTCGGCCTCACAGTCGCCGTGCACGACGATGTTCTTGAGATCGCCTTCGCAGTAGCCCTCGATGCGGCCATAGCGCGCCAACACGATGTCGGAGATCATACCTCCGGCCGGGCACTCCAGGCGCACCGTGTCGTTGACGTTGTCGGCACGCCCATACATCTCTCCGCCGCCAAACCCGCAAATCTCCTCTGTGTGCAGTGGGTCGCGTGTGTCGTGTGAGAAGAGGAACGGTGGGTTGAAAAGGCGGGTGGGTACGGGGAGCCTCGAGGCAGCTGCGGGTGGTGACGTCGAGCCACCAGTCCCGCACGTAGCCGGTGCCGTCCGCCTGCTCCACGGAGAGCACCCACTCGGCCAGCGCCGGCCGGCCCACGAAGTTGGCCGCCAGCTCGCGCACCGTCTCGCCCGTCCACTCCGTCAGGCTGCCGCTCTTCATCGTATCGTCTACTCGTCGAGTGGCGTGTGTCGTATGGGTGGAATGTGAGTGAGATGAATGCAAAGGCAAGGAATGCGAAGCCATGGTATATGGATGGTACCGCCAAAGGGCTTGATGACGACGGTCGCGGTGTGGTTCTTGGCGCGCGGATCGTTGCTGGCCGGTCCGGTGCGCGTCAGGCTGATCCGGACATGCTGGGGCAGACTGTGCGCGACGGCCACCTTGACGGAGATGGACGTCAGGCAGTCCACCGGCGAGAGGGCCATGCGCGAGAGCACGAAATTGTTGGGCACGTTGCCCAGGCTCTGCCAAGGCTTCAACGATCTCTCGATCCGCCCTGCGTGTTGTATCGTGTCGTGTCATGCGTTGTGTGTCATATTGCGTCGACATACGGACGCGTTGTGTATCTTGCGGTGTCGTGCGTGTGACGTGCGCGCGCGCGCGCTGTCGTAAGTACCGCCATCGAGCTCGTCAGTGTGAGCGTCGCAGAAGAAGGGCTCCGAAGACGACCCCTGAGGGCGCACGACGTGCAAGGAGCCCATGTCCACGCGCGACAGGCCCGACTCGATGGCCAGACTCACGGTCTCGCGCTCCATGAACCAGCGGCCTTGGAGGCCATCCAACAGCGTGTCCAGCACGTTCAGCCGGTCGGCCGCTCCCGTATTCGGCGAAAGCTGGGTGGGTCCGGATGCATCAGACTTGCACACGCGACACACGCGACACACGCGACTGGCGTACGGTTTGGGCGAGGGCAGTGTCAAAGGAAGCGAGAGTGTCGCGGTTGGTCAGGTGGTCGGCCCACGAGATGCTCGACTCGGGCAACTCGGGCACAGGCACCGTGACCTCGCCCAGGCCCTTGACCTCGAGCTCCAGCTGGCTGCCCACGAAGACCAGCGCCGTGGGCTGGAAGTAGAGCACGTGGGCGCGGTAGGTGCCGGCCAGGTCGAACGAGAGCTTGTACTCGAAGTAGGCGCACTCGGGGTTGCGCGAGTTGACCAGGCAGTCGCTGTAGGAGAACGACCGCGCCACGCCGCCGCGGATGCCCAGCTGCGGCTGCAGCGCCGGCCCGTCGACAAAGGCCAGGTCGAACCCGTCCGAGTCGTCGCCGCCCAGGCGCGGCCGGCCCTGCGCGTCGCAGAAGCTCACGCGCACGCTCTGCTCGCGCAACACGCGCATCTCGCCGTCGGCCTCGTTGGCCTTGGCCGCCACGATCGAGCTGGGCAGGTGGAGCGGGCCGTAGAGCTGGAAGGTGAGCCGGTCGCGTGACTCGCGCGTGTCGTTGCTGAACTTGCGCGCCCACTCGATCGACACCGTGAGCTGGCTCGTGAGCGTGTCGTCGTTCTCCTCGGCAAAGGCCAGCACGCCCTTCGGGATGATGCACAGGCCGCTGATCTGGAGCGAGTCGGCCTGCGCGATGGCTCGGAGGTCGTAGGGCGTCACCGGGCCTCGCCACACCTCGAGCGCGAGCGCACCGTCGCTGATCGTGTTGCCCTGCGCGTTCAGCCTGATGACGTCGTCATCATCATCGTTCACATGTCCGTCAGTCAGTCAGTCAGCTGGAATGAAGTGTAATGGATTGAACTTGATCGTCGTTGTGAGTGATTCGTGAACGAATTGATGATGAACGGATGAAATTGGGGGGGGGAGTGAGTGAGTACTCGAGGGAAGTCTTGGCTCGAGAGATGACGCAGTTCTCGGACTTGACGGTCGTGTCGGGCACATCGGCGGCCCAGATGCGACCCGAGACGGCGATCACGGTCGGCTGGATGGCGTTGAGCGAAAAATCGGCGCCCATCGGCGCAATGCCGGCCAGGATGGGCTCATCGTCCGGATAGCCTGCCCGCCTCCCCCCCTGCGGCGTCAGTTTGTCGTCATCATGACAGAAAATCTCAATCCTAGAATGGATGGGGGGGGGCGTAGAAGAAGTGGTTTACGGTATTGGCAGGCGGGGCCGTAGTAGTTGGGCGAACACACGCACTCGACGATGGCAAAGTCCCTCGACCACCAGCAGGCGCCACCGTTCTCGCAGTCGGGCTGGCACGTGGGGAAGGCCGCCGAGGCCGTGCGGGACATGCCCAGGCGAGTCTGCACCTGCACCTGCGCCATCTGCAGCTGCGACACCTCGGCAGACGCCAGCCTCGTCAGCAGGCACGTCAGTTGCGTGTCTGCGCTCACACCACCACCACCCCATATATATGAATGTGGCAGCCAGAACAACAGCCTACATGTGTAAATGGGGAGACATTATATATCTAGATGTTGATGAGATACATATATATATATATATTTCTCAACATGTTGGTGGAGGACGAACCAGAGGTCGTGAGCGTGCTGGCGATGCACTCGGCATTGAGTCCGGTGACCTGCAGCACGGGCGCCTCGACGGGCTCGGGGTTGAGGTCGTAGCCGTGCACGGTGAGCTTCAGAGGCGAGACGCCCCCCGACACGACCTCGATGGTCGCGTTGACGATACGCGGGGCACCCGGCTGTGTGTGGATATGGGATGTGTCGTCATGTCGTGTTGCGTCACACCAGATGATCAGTTGTAGGGAGAAAAATGGATTTTGTGAGAGGAGATGGTGGTGGGTGGTGGTGGTAGGGGCAAGATTCGAACCGATGGCTTGCGGGCAACGGAGCCGAGGATGGTGACAGTGCAGGGGTTGCCGGCCTGCGTAAACACTCTGCTGGCCGAGAATGGCCGCTGCTCGTTGGGAGCCAGCTGGCTCAGGTTGGTGAGCGGCTCTTCCCAGCGGAGGTAGTTGTTGCGATTGTCGCCATTCTCGAACACGCACATGGGGCCACCCGCCTGCTTCTCCCAGGCCTCGAAGCCCAGGCGAAAGGTCTGGCCCGCCGAGGCGGAGAACTCAGCTTCCCAGAGGGGTCGGTTGGGGTCGATGGGGCTGGCGAAAGGCATCGTGTTGTCGGTGTAGAAGACCAAGCACTTCTTCTGGCCCGCCACGTTGAGCGTGATTGCCCACTCCTCGTCGTTGTCTGTGTCCAAGCTGTCCAACAACAGCAACAAGACGAAACACACCACAACAAAACCAACCAACAATACCCACGAATATACTAAGGATGGCCACTGTCACCAGAGTGGGGTGTTGGGGGGGAGGGGTACAATTTGCAGTCCTGCGAGAGGCGCACTTGCGTGTACTCCACGCGGTAGTCGATAGCGGTGGATAGGTCCACCAGCTGTTGGAGCAGGAGGAGATACACGATGATGGATGATATTGATGCCCAGCAGCCCCAACGCAAGCCGCCTGGCAAGCGAGAGGCCTCGCCCATATACGATAATAAAGATGAGAGACTTATGGTCGTGGTGCTGATGATCGTAAACAAGAAGAAGTTGTGATGGGTAAGAGGGGAAACTGCCAGTCCGCGGTCCTACCTAAATCAGCACGGCCTCCCCCATATTAGGTAACAGAAACCGTGGGGTGCAGATTGAGAAGGAAGACAGTGGCCTTCAAGACAATGGGGTTGTATGTCTAGCGGACAGCTACCACTTTGTTATTGAACACAATATAACAAGACAAGTAACCCTCCGCGAGGCACGTCACGTTTGGGTCGCTTGGAAGGATTAGCAACAGGAGCACGATCCAAGTACAAAAGAAGAAAATCCGTCGAGATTGGGAAAAAAAATCAAGTACCTACATAACACAACAAACATAGAACAGATCGATAGGAAGTCCCGCATAACCCCAGAGCGAAAATTGTCGCAAAATCTTGGTGGGGTCAAAGAAAAAAGGGCGCGAAAGACAAACAAATAAGTGCGGTGAATTATTCAAAAATATATTTTACCTCCGCTATTTTACCTCCGCTACCTCAGGGGTTCATTACGGACTGGAGATGAAGGACGAGAGGTCTGCCCGCCCATTGGTGAAAATGAATAGAGCCGCCCACTGGGAGAACACTGCACCCCACCTCGTCTCCCATTCGCCACTTCGCGCCGACGCTTATCTCGCGCAACAACCGCACACCCCACCTCGACCGCCGGCGTAGAGGACCCGGCGTAGAGAACCCCATGATTTAGAACAACGCATAAACCTAAATTGTCTGGTCCACGTAGCGTTGTAAATGCGTTGGCGGACCTTCCCGGCTTCACTCCGGCGGCAGCGTAGAGAAGAAGAGCAGACCGAGCCAAACTCCTACACCGAACAACAACAAAACGATGCCGGTGGTGGGTTCTTCTCTCTGGCTGACGAAGGTCCTTGTGGCCCTGCTCCTCGTGGGTCCTTCCCTTGTTCGTACGTCTCCGTACCTGCCTGCTGTTCCTTTTAGTCTCTGTTTTTTTTTCTGTTTGCCGAGCAGCCACTATGTTCTTATATTCTCTCTCTCCTGGCGGCCGTGTAAAGTGGGCCTGACGTGCAGCTACCCGAGCTATGGCAAGTGCACGGCGAGTTATTCCTTGACCAACATCTCCGACCCCCAGATCCAGACCTGGCTCACCTCCAACATTGCCGCCAACACGGAAAGCTCGTACACATAACCATCCACGCCTACATGCTGAGGGTCTGTACCACAGGGCTAACACAGTTCCCCCACCTCCTCTTTGATTACATCAATCAACAGGGTCACCTGGACCGGTTATGTGCAAAACAGGGCCGTCGCCAACGTACTCACTTTCAACTTTACTGCGAGCGAAGATGCCGCTGCCGCTGCAGACTCATCGACAGTCACCGGTTCAACCCCCCCCTCTCCCTCCCTAGCAAGCCTTAAAGCTCCGAGCAGTTCTCCACTCCCAATTCGCATCGATGGTTACCTCGTTTCTGCTCGTGCGCTGATATCCTCCCCTTTCATCATCTTCTTCTTCTTCTTCAGGTCTGCTTCTAGCCATCTCTCAGACGCTCAGCTCGGTTTGCCAGCACGGCAATGCGACCAATCAGGTGACCTCCGTCGTGAAGGTGTGCGAGTCGCCGTCGCCCACGCCCTCCGCTACGCGATCGCCTACGCCGTCGCGGACGGTGACGCCCTCCTCGTCGAGCAGTGTCACGCCCAGCAGGTCGGTGACGCCGACACTGACGCCCTCCATCTCGGTGTCGCCCACCGGCTCCCGGTCGCCTTCGCCTTCCCCTACGCCGTCGGGAACGCCCACGACCTCGCCTTCGTTGTCGCCCAGCCCATCCACGTCGGCGTCGGAGTCGCCCTTTATCCAGCCTTCGCTCTCGAGCTCGCCGTCGTCGTCACCCTTGGTCGAGCCTTCGTTCTCCAGCTCGCCGTCGTCATCGCCCTCGCTGCCGTCATCATCGGCCAGCCCGTCGGGTTCGCCGTCCGCCACGCCTTCCGTCTCTACGTCCCCATCGCGCACGCCTTCCCCCTCGCGCTCGGCCACGCCCACCATCTCGGCGTCGCCCTCGCAATCCAGGTCGCCCTCGCCCACGCCGTCGCAATCGAGGTCGCCCACGCCCACGCGCTCGGTGACGCCCACCATCTCTGTCACGCCCTCCACCACGCGGAGCGCCACCCCATCGATCTCTGTGACGCCCACCGTCTCGGTCTCACCCTCGCAGTCGCGGTCGCCCTCGCCCACCCGCTCGACGATCTCCGTGACGCCCAGCACCTCGGTTTCGCCAACCCGCTCCAGGTCGCCCTCGCCCACCCGCTCGGTGACGCCCACCATTTCGGTGACGCCGTCCCGCTCCAGGACGCCTTCGCCCACCCGCTCGGTGACGCCCAGCACCTCAGTTTCGCCAACCCGCTCCAGGTCGCCCTCGCCCACCCGCTCGGTCACGCCCACCATTTCGGTGACGCCGTCCCGCTCCGGGACGCCTTCGCCCACCCGCTCGGTGAGGCCCACCACTTCAGTGACGCCGTCCCGCTCCAGGACGCCTTCGCCCACCCCCTCGGTGACGCCCACCATTTCGGTGACGCCGTCCACCACGCCCACCATCTCAGTGACGCCGACCCGCTCCAGGACGCCTTCGCCCACCCGCTCAGTCACACCTACCATCTCCGCTACGCCCTCCACCACGCGCACACCCTCCAACTCGCCCTGGCCCTCGGCCTCGCCGTCCGTTTCGCCCTCGATCCCTTTTTCGCCCTCGTTCTCGCCCCAGGCCTGGCCCTCCAGCTCGCCCTCGCCCTCTGCATCGCCCTCGGCGTCGGCGTCGCCGGCCGGGCCGGCGACAGTGCGTCGGTGCTCGCAGGTGTCGGCCAAGCTCGAGTCCGGCTCGCCCTTCACCGCCGCCGTCGACACTGCTGCCGCAGCCTTTGGCGACCTGGTGTCGGCAGGCCTCGTCGCACAGCAGCAGTTCGTGTGGGCTGCGGTGGACGTGCAGTCGCTGGTGGCGGTGCCGTTCGACGAGCCCGACACGGTGCAGGTGGCGTTTGCCGTCGAGTTCGAGATCGCGGCGGCGCTGGCCGGCGAGGCGTCGGCACGCATCGGGTTTGCCGTCAACGTGGCGCTGGCGGGCATTGCTCCGGTGGCGGCCGACAGTTCGCTGTTCGAGGTGGCCTTCACCATCACCCCCTGCCACCACCATTAAACATTGATTTTTTTGGATTCTTTATTTAGTTGTTTTCCTTTTAAATAAATGTTATCCACAATCATGCATTCCCTTCCTCCTCTTCTTCTTCTCCTTCTTCTTCTTCATCTTCCGCTTCGTCGTCGTCCTGCTCCTCGTCTCCGCCAAACACTTTGGCGACGGTCACCACGACCGGGTGGACCAGTACCATTGGAGAGTGCGTGAAGAAGCGGAGAGGCGCCGCCGGCGCGCACGCGCAGACCACAAGAAGCGCCGCCATCTCGTGGGCCAGCCCTTCTTCTCCGCCATCATCGTCATCGTTGTGATCACCGTCATGATCGTCCTGGTGCTGGTGGTCGTGGTCGCCGGCCGGCGGGCTTGACCGCGTAGGAATGCCGAAGGTGCGGGCCAGCTCGAGCAGCGACTGCGTGCGGCACAGGGTGGGCGGGAGCTCCTCGTCGTCGCGCTCGCCCTCCTCGAGCGGTGGGTTGGACCAGTAGACGAAGAAGGGCTGGGTGTCGCTCACGTCGAACCGGTCGGCCATCGCGCGCGAGCTGGCCCGGATCTTGACCACCACCCGGGCGTAGTCCGCCTCGCTCGCCGTGGTGTCGATGTTGCAGTGCACCTCCAGGAATTCTCCATCTGCGTTGTGTGTAATAATAAAATAATCGATTTAATTTACTTCCAGATATGCAAATATAGGAATATTTAAAAATCTATATATATATATATTATTTGCATATCTGGCGCCAGAAGGAATGTACCTGTTCCGGGTACGGCCAGCTTCATCACCGCGTCGCAGTTGGTGAGCACGTCGCCTTCAGGGGCCTGCAGCATGGCCGCACTCGCTGTGTGTTCGGTGGAAGGGGCGAAATGAATTCATTAGGCGAGAGAGGTTCGGGGATTTGGTGGCGCCGTTGGCAGGTACCTCGGCCAGAGCCAATGTGGGGGACCACCCGAAGCACGTTGTTCATCCCGAACATCCCGGCGGCCAGAAAAACCTGGGACTGGGCAACCCTGTACTTCCAAAGCTCCACTACAGCGTGTGTCGTGTTGTGTGTGTCGTGTGTGTCGTGTCGTTGGTCGTGTCGTTGGTCGTGTCGTGTCGTGTCGTGTCGTGTCGTGTCGTGTCGTGAGACAAAAGAAAATGGCACGCACACATGTTGCAGGTTGGTACCAAGGCTGCTCAGATGGGAGAGCTGGGGCTCACTGGCGCGGGAGATGACCCTGGCGGCTGCGTCACCACAGGCCACAACCGCTCCTTCGGGGCGAGGCTTCATCAGCTCGTCGTGCCACTTCTTCTCGCCCAACAACGATTCTTGTTGCGGGGTCTCCTCCACCTCGCCGGGCAGCTCGCACCGCGCCGACAGGAGCAGCACGGCCAGCAGCCTGCCCCCACCCCACCACACGGAAGAGATACATGAGTCGAGGGGAATTGGCGAGTTGGCTTTGGGGGTGGGGTGCGGTGGGGGGGGGGTTTACTCCTGGGCGGTGCAGTTGAGGCGAAGCTTGTCCGCGAGGGCGCGGAATGCAGAAGGCAGGAACCACTCTTCGTTCATTTGCCCTGTTTCCGAGTCGATTCGAAGATGTCAGACTGTGTGGTGCGTGTGTGTGTTGCGCGTGCGGGGGGGTCTGACCGGGAGCGCGTTCTTGAAAGTAGATTCGTTGGGGCTCGGTAGGGGAGGTGTGGAAGATGCCCGAGTAGTGGTTCCACAGCAGTTGCTCGTCCTCTTCGTAATACTGGCCGCTGTTGTATTCGACCTGCATGTGTACGTTGTGTGTCATGTGCAACATAAAACAAGATATATAGATATAATATATCTTTTAGTATTATATATAATGCTAAAAGAACGAGCTGTGGGGTGGCCGTACAATGCGGAGCGCATGCTTCTCGGGTTTCCCGCCCTGAGTGATCGTCACCTCGAGATCACACTCCACCAGTCTGATCCAGGACTTCCACACCCGCACGTAGGATTGCACCCGCACGTGCTGTCGCGCGCACCAATTGTCAGCACCAATCAGCAGTGATAAAACCAGCCAATCAACTTTCACCAGCAATCAAGAGTGGTGCGTGGATTGGTGGTTCACTTATTCTTACCTGCTTGATGAAGTCAGCAATTTCTTGGGCGGTCATGGACCTCTGTTGCCCGCGCGGGCCAGAGCCGATGCGGGTGTCGACCGATTCCCAGAACGAGACCTGCTCGATTCGCCGCTGGTGCCGAACCGCCTCGATGTGGGCCAGCACGGCGTCCAGCTGCTTCAGCGCGGCCTCTTTGTCCGCCCGCCTCCCGCCTTCGTCTTCGTTTTCGCTTTCCCTTTTTGCTTCATCGTCGCCCTGGCTTCGTTCTTTCTGCTCTTGCCCGGCGAACCATTGCTTTGCCACCATCTCCAGGTCCGGTTGGGCGAATAGATCACCACAGGGCGCTGAAAGGAAATGACGGTGAGTGTTAGACCATATGTGTACACCTATAGTGTATATTGTATTTTATATACTGATGGTTGTGGGTACCGGCCAGTAGGGAGAGCGCGGCTCGTGGGCTGCCCGTCGGGAACGGGACGCGGTCAGTCGAGCAGGCCATCACCGGGGGTAACACGTCGGACAAGAGCCAGCGCAGCATTCGGTGGTGCGATGCGACCAACGCGCACGCGTCGCGGCTCACCGCGCGGAGAGCCAGTGCGTCATCCCACCCAAGCCACGCACTACTCCCCACAACGCCGGAGTTAGAAAATATTTGTACAATTCAAATCTAAAATAATAAAGATAATATTATTGGGGAGCACCTGATGAGTGGGTCGAGCACGAGGTCGGGAAGCGAGAGGAGCGTCAAAGGGCTCGAGTCGCCTACGCGGAATGCGGGCTGCCTCGACTCCGAACGGGCTCGCTTGGTCCCCCGAGCTCCAGCTTCGTCCGGGCTGCCCCCTGTGCTCTCCAGAGCAACCGAACGTTCTTCGTTCTCGCGTGCGGCCCTCTTCATCCTTTGTGGTGCGTTAGTGCGTATGGCACAGTTTCCGCGTCTCTGGCAGCTTCAGCCACAGGCCTGCACTTACGGCGGCTTCCGCCAGTTGAGTAATGGTTCGTCATCAGTCGACAAGAAATAGCTTTGCGATTTCCTTTGGTTTCTTTCTCTTTGTTGCCACAAAAAGATGGATCGACTTTGCTTCTGCTCCTGTGGTCGATGGATGTCTGCAGCGCAATTCAAACAACATGTTGGAGGTTGCCCGCTTCCAACGCCAGAGCTGCTAGTCCTCTCGCCCTCACCCCAGCCGTCAACCTCAACCTGGCCCATCTTCTCACCATCACCGTCGCCCTCGCCCTCGACCCCACCCGTCCTGTCGCCGTCGCCGTTGCCGTCGCCATCGACCCCGCCCGTCCTCTCGCCCTCGACCCCTCTGCCCGTCCTCTCGCCGTCACCGTCGCCCTTGACCTCGACCTGGCCGCCTGTCCTCTCACCATCACCCTCAACATCGACCTCGACCTCG